TATGTTACTCAATCACGCAAAATCTACTGAACGGATTTTGATGAAATTTTAAATTTAAGACACATAGGATAATTTTTATTCTGAAAAAGAGAAAAGAGTTCCTTAGGGATTTCCAACAAACTAAAGTTAACGCGGACGAAGTCGCGGGCGGCTGCTCTTTATATGTAAATGAAGACATTGTATGAAATTTGTTAAATACATATATTATAGCTGTAAATGTGTAAACGAGGGGTTATTATACCTAGCTGTCCGCCATTGGCCTTATCTACGTTGTGAGTACCTAAACAAAAGTAGTTGAACACAATTAGCTGAGCTAAAAACAATGGACAGCCATTGTCGTATATTTATGATTATAGTATGTATAACATTGAGAGACACATTTGTCTCCTGAATCACTCATGCAGTTCAAAATTAGCAGTGGCCGACTCCGCAGACAATGATTACCAAGCCGGGGTAATTGTTAGCTTACATCTGGCACGATGACAATTAATTCATCGCAATATATAAATTAGTTAAATTACACATGATTATTTCTAATTAGAATGTAAAGATATATGTAAAGAACGCGATTGTAGAAAACGTCTAGAGAAACTTCTATAAATACACAGTTTTTTTCCAAATTAAAGTAAGTAGGTACTTTAGAATAGTATTCTATAGGTATTTATTATTTCACGGCAGTTTTTGGAACTTCTATACACTCAGCGATTTAAAGACACCTTCAAGTCTCACTTCTCGTTCGCGCGTCGACAGCTCGTGATGAAATTCTGACATACATACATTTTGCGGTAGCAAAGTCCAAATGCGAAAAAACACGTATCGATAATTCATGAAAAAACCTTACATTAAGTAAAAATGTTGCTTGAAGTGAAAACTTCTTTATATCGGCTTCTTTTTTTAATAACGTAGCGTTTACGGCAATTTTTTCTCGTGGGACAAGTTGGTGGCACTATATGTATTTTTTGTGATAAATAGCATAGCGCACAGCATTCAGAATTCGTAAAAAATCGCCAATAGTGTGCTCAAACCCTAAAACTAAATTACACGAAGTTATTACGACGAGTCTGTAAATGCACACTCACATTCACATATTAATAAACTCAAGTATACCTAAAATTGTAATAGTATGTATAAAATAAACAAAACGCTAGACAAAAAATAAAGAATTTTTCTGATACTATCAAGAGGAGCTCAAGCATTTGCATTAAGGAAAAATAAAGAGAACTTTTACTATACAAGGCGGCGTCATATCTCCTCTTCTCTTCGCTGTATTGATTAATTCAATCTCTAATAATATTACTTCTTCCTACCACCTATACGCAGATGACCTTCAAATTTATCAACAAGCGCCCATTGGTCAACTTGGTGATGCAGTGCTGGCCACAGACAGTGATTTGTGTAAAATATTGGAGTGGAGTAAATCTTTTGGGCTGGAGGTAAATCCGTCTAAATCTAACAGTATTATTATTGGAAGTTCCAGGATGATCGCAAAAGTTGACTGGCAATCACTCCCCAAAATTCATCTCGCTGACACCATCATTCCGTTCAGCATCTCAGTGAAAAACTTAGGTTTAACCTTTGACAATTGTATGAGTTGGGGTCCCCAGATGCAAGTGCTCAGCCGTAAACTGTTTGCTTCTGCAGCTTCGCTGAAGAGACTACGTAATTTCTTACCTACTACCACCAAAATTTCCCTAGCACAGACTCTCTTGCTTCCCATTCTCGATTATGCTGACGTCTGCTATCTAGATCTCACGGAGGACCAGCTTGATAAACTTGAGCGGCTTCAGAACCTCTGTATTCGATTCATATTTGGTCTGCGCAAATATGATCATGTGTCTCAATTTCGTTTACAGCTCAAGTGGCTACCCATTCGTCTTCGCCGGAATACTCATATCCTTACTCTTCTGTATAACATACTTTTCAATCCTTTGTCCCCACGCTATCTTAAAGAATGTTTTAATTTCCTCCACACTTCTAACACATTGTCCCTAAGGTCATCAGAAAATCTCGCTCTCATTACTCCTGTTCATAGTACAACTTTTTATGGCCGTTCTTTCGCAGTACAAGCCCTTCGCCTATGGAATGCTCTTCCAGTTTCCATAAGACGTGCAAAATCTCTCCACCTTTTCAAAAACCTTGTTAGATCTCACTATATGTCCTTGTAACCCTTCCATTTTTGTTGATCTTAGCTGACTGAATTAGACATAGGTATGTATGTATTTATGTATATATCTATAACTATGTATGTATATATGTATGTATTCATGTAGGTATATGTATGTGTGTATTGTTTTATATACTTATTTTGATCATATTTGTTAGTTTTTTATGTTGTTTTGTGTAGTCAATTACACCGCCGTCTCTCCATCTTCTTTCTTGTCCTCTCCATCCTAAGGTTGTCTGGAAGAGATCGCTCTTAGCGATAAGACCGCCCATTATTACACTGTATTCTTTAATTATGTACTTCATGTTTTATGTTTTCTGTGGTGTGAAAATAAAGAGTTTTGTATTGTATTGTATACACATTGATTGCGCCGAAATTACTATGTTGTAATAAAACTCTGTATAGGTTTAATTTTCTTCTTTTACTGTTGGAATTTTACAAAAAAAAGACATTTGATGATAATATGGAAAAAACGATGGTGCGTATTCGAGTCTGTCAGCGCAATGGTCTTGTGTTCCGCGCGCTCCCTTCCGGTACTTGCTGCGTGATGTCACGGTAGCCGGTGGACAGTGGGCCCGAACATCTTCCGCCTCGCTCGAAAACTGTAGGGTTTCGAGAAACTCCAGTTGAAGTTGGATCAGGCAGAGAGCAAAGAGTATGGACAGCTCTGTGAAGTGCCTTTAGAAGTGCGTACAACTGCAACACGTGATATTCCATCCGACCCTGGGTTTCGAAGGTTCGATTCGCCATTTTAAAGGTGGTAGATTAGCATCTTTGAGGACCACCAATTCTCCTTCTTGTAAACCTCTTTACTCGCCATTTCGTCTTTAGTTATAGCTCGTTCAAGTACTCCTTCCTACAGCGTTCCCAAAAATGTTTCCGCACACTCTCTAGCCATTTGTAACGATTTAGTGTATTTGGGTTGACTTCCATCAAGCTTTGTGAAGGCAGCGATGTCAAATATCTACCGATCAAGAAGTATGCAGGAGTTAAAGGATTGACGCGGAAGAATCCCTAAACGGGGATCCCGCGGCTTCGTGCTACGCAGCTTAGAGGGTATTTGCAGAATTTTTTAGCGTATATTATGCCTTTAAAGCGCCCGTAAGAGTTACGGGGTCCTCATTGGTAGCCACTGCTGGGGCTTGTAAGGCTTGCGGGAGCCAGGTGTGAGTTCCGTTCGGCGGTCGTCGTCTGTAAACAGTATTTTTTGCCTGCGTATAAAAAAAAGGAGCTAAAGGATTAAGGTCGCTAGGATCTGATGAAAGGGGAGTTAGAGGACGGGAGTTAACGAAAGCCTCGATTTGTGTAAGCAATTTCGATAGCTCCTCGAAAGTCATGTGCCTGTCCTCTAAAATTCTAGTCAAGTGATGTTTTGCGGATTTCACGCCTACCTCCCACAAACCACCAAAGTGAGGAGAAAAAGTTACAGTTTTCACACTTAGGCTGCACTTTGTATGCTCTAAAAACACGCACCTTTTATGATGTACCTATGTGTACGAATCAGCGTTGCCAGACGTCCCGATTTTGGAGGGAAGTCCCGATTTTTAAATCAAAATTAAATGTCCCGCGCGGGACAGGTTCATTCCCGCTTTTCGAGAATAATTCGAACGTACGTGCAGCATTCTGAGAAAGTGCGGGTGGCACAGACAGACAGATAAACGGCCGTTATTTTTTTTATATTTACCTAGAAGTTAGATTTTTTCACAGCTTCAAGAGATCGTAGACCTGAATATCTAGTTTAATTTTCAACTCGAAACCTCCACGCGTTCCCTAGATAAAGGGTCTTGACAGACGGACAACAATGTGATCCTATAAGGGTTCTGTTTTTCCCTTTAGAGTTACGGAACACTAAAAATTACATAATATATAAGTATCTACCTGGCATAATCTATGCGTTAGTTCGCAGTGTATCAAAGGTACAGCTTATAAGATAAATTATGTCACCATCCCATCCCATATCTTTCCCATAATCGTTTCAATTGACATTAATTGAGCGAACATGTTATCTGGAAATAAGCCCCACCCTCAACGGTTGGGCCTGCTCCGGGGAAAGTTTCTTATTAATACAAGACTCAGAAATGCGCCCCACCCAACCTAGGTGTCGATTCTGCCACGCTTAAGTAAAAATCGTGTCTCAATAATGGTTTAGTGGGTCCAATTTTTGGCACAGTTCTTGTTACTAACAAATAAAATGCACCGAGAGAACAATAATAATTAACAGTAATAGTTTTGTGCTTTTGTAACAACAATTGTGTCAAAAATCAAAACTACTGAAACGCCATTTACCGTAGTAGATTGTACATTGTACAACCTGATGTGTTACATGTACCAAGTGAAGTCTAGTTCCTAAGATAATTGAAAAAATGTGGCATTCCATAGCCATTCTCGCCTTGTCGACTCGAAGCCAATCCCCTTACTGTGGAGTGTTAGAAACACAACAAGTAAGGTAGTTTAATGTAAGGGCATTAAAATTTTAAAATCTGCTATGCCCTACCTATATAATCACACTAATATTATAAATCCGAAAGTTTGTAAGTGTGTGAGTGTGTTTGTTTGTTACTTCTTCACGTCTAAACGGCTGGAGCGATTTAAATAAAATTTGGTATGGAGTTAGCTGTCACTCTGTATTAACATATAGGCTACGTTTTACTGCGGGAAAATATCCTTAATAAACCGCGGGTAACACCGCGGGGCACAGCTAGTAGTTTATAAGTGTAAATTGCGGCTGCCCTATTCTAGGTAAAATTTCGTTTTGCCAAGTATTTTTATTTATTCAGAATGCTTGATTTTATTCCTTTTCTATAGTAATAAATGTTTGTTTTATCTTTTGTTATAGAATCGACTTTAACAACCCGGGCACAGACAAACCTGCCAATCTAGCAAACTCAGCAGTACTCAGGATGTTGGAAGAAGAGGAGAGGAACCGCCGGGGATACCCCAGTTAGTATAATAAGATTTATTGTTAAAAAAATTATCTGAAAAGTTGGTGCATGTTTATTTCCCCTTTCATACTTATATCCCTACTAAAGAAAGTTATCGTGAATGAATAATCAAACATATTCGTAATTTTTTTTTTTTACCTAAATTGTTTTCTCAAATCTAAACAGTGCCAAGACTGTACAAATATGAACATTTTCGATTATTATTCAGTAAAGGCAATTTTTTAAGACGGAACGTATCTAAGACCCCTTTATTTGAATAAAATTAAATTGTGATAAAAGCTTATTAACGCTACTAAATCTTGGTGCTGCTTTGCCAGAGCTAGACCCTACCCAAGTGCAGGCGATTCTGGACACCCTGGTCCGCACCGACCACCGGTTTGATTCCCACTGGCCCCCAGAGCAGGCCAGGATGCGATCAGCGCGCAGCTGGGACGGCCAGCTCAACCACGCAGGCCATATTTACTCTGAGTTCATGAAGGCTACCAAAGGTACTAGGGCCCGGTAGAATAGAAGCTTTCAATGTTACATCATTGTCATTAAACATCTTCTATAAATATTACGATTACTTACAAGACGCAAAGTTCCAAACAGTAGTCATCATATTTGTAAAGAATCAGAATATAAACTCCATGGTCTATTCGAGACTCGCTTACATTAACTGTAGTCTTCTGTGTCAAACATCATGTAAGGAGGGGTTACCTACACTGTGTCCACAAATTTTCGATTTTCGTTCATAATAGGTGTCTGTTAAAATAGTTCCATTTCATTTGTTCGTAATTCAATGTGTGTTTTCATTGTTAATAATAATTGATTGACATTTAATCAATGGTATCCGAGCTTGAGAGCTTATTGTAGCTAACGTAAAACCTAAAGCCAAAAGTTGTACACGCTTATTTTAGATCACAAAATTGAAATCACACTACCTGTACATATGCCGGAAATGATTCATTCGGAAACTTAATAATGAATGAGGTGTCCGTTGCCCTATAGAGTGTAATGGCCGAGCATTTAATTTCGCTTCCAAACTTTCGCTTGTATGACAGAAATACGCCTACATATGACGAAGATTCGTTCATTAGTGAAAAGTGTTTGGCAAGGATTGGAAGTTAGGAGAATGTGCCTGTACCTGCTATTGTTTGTGGTAGTACAAAACCGACAGCGAAGGAGCACTAACGAGCGACATGCCTGAAACCGTGTTTGTTGGTAAACCGTTAAATTTATTCGTTGTGTCTTTGTTTCATCACAAAAACAGAAAGAGCAACAAGAATCTTAGTGATACTATCGTAATAAGTTTATTTATAATAGTGTAGTGTAAAGTGCGCTCAACATAATGTATTAAAATAATACAGTTGTTTAACAAACCTAACGATATTGTTTAGTAAAGTGCATTATCATAAAACATTTCGTAGCCTCTCATCCACAGCTTTTACTGTATTGTGGTTACTGTTATTTACTGTTTCGTGTATTCGAAGTCCTAATTTCGTTGTCAACTCATTAGCAGTCAGCCAGTCATCACGTTTTTATAACAATTTTGAGTTTTATTGATGACAAGATGACAACTTTAAAATGTTATGACGTCAAGCAATATTATTAAAGTGTGTATTGACGTCATATGAATGCGAATATGAAAGCTTTTCCGGTCTTTGAAGAAATACATAGTATCAAATGTTTCGTTCATGTTTGGTAACTTGTGAAACATTACCTGCATGTTTAAAACACATTAAATATATCGTGACGAATTACATGTTCACATTATATTGGTTGTGGCATTCCCACTTTCAGTTGTGACGCAAGAGCTAAATTCGAGATCATGACTAAGGCATAAAACATTTTCACACCTGTACAAAAAGATTTTTTTCTGTGCTGCTTTTAGATATGCTAGACTAAACCAAATGGCCACATGGGAGTTCAGTTCTTAATTTATTACACCTGTTTCATCGTCCATCCAGTTGCCATTCCATCAACAAAAATGTATTATGGAAAAACAAAACGAATGTTCTGTTTGACGTAATAGTAGACTATTTCGGATGAGTCCTCGCCGCTTTATGAATCAATGTCTAATAATAACAAGCGCTGAAAAGATGCAAATGACAAATGGTGGTATTTCGATTGGTGTGCTTGTAGCACTGACATGCAGGCAGTTAATGACTCAACCAAGCACTAATGTCGTGCTCATGACTTTGTTGTTTTTCTTGTTTTCAGAATGAACAGACATCTTTTGCTTGTAAATTTCATTGCCGATGCTACGCTAAAATTAACAAGGATGAGAATATAAAACAGAGGGCAATCTAAAAATACGCCCCTACCGCGTTATTGTTGAATACATCTTTATTAATATTACATATTAGCCTTTTTTCAATATTAATATTGTAAACATTAAAAAAAATCTAATGACTAATAATAAAACACGACACTTCCATTAAATATTTCCTGAAAATTAACCTTTTTTTCGTGTTGTTTGATGTTCTTTTATCGATATGAAATTGCTCGTCTTATTTTACGAAAAAGTACTCATATTGTATATCAAAAGTCAGTGACGCCTCTTTATAATGCGACTCTTTATAAGATACGTTTTTTTTTTATTAAAAGAAGACAATTTATTGAATTCTTGAAAATAATGAACTATGTAACAACATAACTCAAGCTTATGATTTTAAAATACTACTTATCCAGTCACATGTAAATTGTAAATCGATTTTAACATTTCATGGTTTATATACCTAACTAGCAAACCCAGCGAACTCCGTTTCGCCACCAGATAGCTTCGTTTTATGTAACATTTCGTTTTGTGATTAAAAGAAAACGATTTTTTTTTAATTTTTCCTGAATTTTCTTTGCTATAAACCTCACGGAGCCCGAGACCTTTCCAACGAATGCAAAACCGTGGAAATCGGTTCGTGCGTTCTGGAGTTATAGCGTCAGGAAGGAAAACCCGACTTATTTTTATATAGTAGATATATTCATAAAAACCTATCTAGTAAGTACAAATTTTTCTTAATAACGTGTCGATTACCGGTTAATAACTGACGGGGTTAGGTAATTGTCTACTCAGAATCACGGCAAGCTACTGTTCAATAAGCGTAGCAATATCACAGCATCATTGAAGTGCTTATCAAGTACCTATATTCTGTATTATAGAACAAGTTCGCAATTAGCTCATCCATTGAGCCATGAGATGCACATAAATTACGAACGGTACGTACCGTCGCCGCCACCAATAATTTGTCATTAACTTGTTTAAGCCTCTTAGCCATACTCGGCTGAAGATCGCCGCCCTTCTAGCGAGTGGATACAATTTAAAAGACCAGTTCTAATAACGAGACGCCGAGAAAATTGAAGATTGTAAGGTTAACCATCGAGTGTAACATAATACCAATCGTCTCCTTGTGATTATCATTTCGAAAGAAAATTAATAAAAAAGTGTTGATTGTTTGATAATGTTTACGAATTGTTGTACCAGCGTTTCCAGAGCCGTTTTCTTCTTCAATTTTAAGCACCCTTCTGGGGAAGTAGCTAAGGTAGCACCTTACAGACGATTGTAGTCAACAATGACCTTCTATATAGTCAAACAAAACTGATTGGTTACAATGACTTCATGGTCTGATCTCACCACTCCACTGATGAGACTGGGCTTCTGCGGATAAGGAGAATGCAATCTAAAAGCAGCACTAAATACCGCTCTAATCTGGCATCAGCAATAACTCACTTTATCGATTAAATTAATGCGTTTAAGGATTCATCATGATCACACGACTTTATAGAATAACGAACAGCCTATATTTTGGTTTTGGATTAGTTATAGAAGCACAAGCACTCAATTTGACTGACTCCTCTAAACTAACGTAGAACACCGCGCAATGAGCAGCCTACCCAAGTGTTTACTTGATTCATCATTCTTTTGTTTCCGAGCTGACGCTCGTAACAGAGGATTTCAACAGATGTAACAAATGAAAAATATGCAGAAAAGAATCTGTCTAGTCCAGGGTCTTTGCTTTGGTCCGTGGGTGTGTCCAGTTTTACCTACCAGTACGCGTCGTGGCGTATGCAAGCGCAAAAGAGATAGCCAGTGGTCTCCTAAAAATGTGAACTCTCAAAATAATAATATGCGATAGATATTTGCGCACCTGGCGAGCGAGCCAACTAGTCGAACGTTGTCCTGTCGAGGTAGCGGTGGCAGTACACGCGTTTTGAGTTCCAGTCGAACTGATCTCTTCAGTGAGTCATTTGTTATAATGTTTGTTGTGTTCAATTAAGTGTATGTCTAACGAGGTACTTTATTTTTCGTGACGACCATGACTGTATTAAATCAAAGTGAGCAAATTTTTATTATCGTTCTGTTTCGAATGAAAATTAATAGAAGTAAAGCGAAAATGCTGTTGTTCAACGGTTTGAGAGTGCGCCATGGACTAAAGGATTAAGTTTTAACCTTGTTATATGTCCTATACAGATGGTCAACGTATAGGGACTAGTAACACTATCATTTTATTTAACCCAGGAAAACTAAGAAAATGTTTAACAAAAAATATTATTTTAAAGAAAAAGGAATATTCCTATAATACTTACATACAGAATTAATGATATTGATTTTATATAAAGTAAATAATAGTCTCTAAATCATTACATTTGTATGTCGTACTAACTTTGAATTTTGACATTCAGTATTTTGTGCTAACTCTTAAATTTCTTACTTCTCGTCGTTGAAAAAATACGCCTGATTTAATAATTTTCCTTCTCTATTTTCCTAGAAATAGTTACGTATCTGAAAAATCACCAATTTTTTTAAAGCCAGGTAGGCAAATGACTCTACCTTTATTCTCTACCTTTATGTTAACTTTATTCTGTTTAGGCAGATTTAGTACAATGTCCAAGTACCTATGTCTTCCAACATAAAACATATTTTTCAGGAACTATTTTTAAAGTCTCAGTAAACTATGAATAAATAAATTATGAATAAATAACTAGATTTTTTATCTGAAACAGCACATTCAAGACTAAATAAATAGTTAGTTTTATAAGAATAGCTTCACCCTCAAATAAGATTTTCATTACTATTTTAAAAGTAACCAATAAACCCTGGAAACAGTATCACTAACTTTTGTTGCCTCATTCCTTGTTGAAATTAATTAATAACATTTTGGCAACTCCTGTTTATAAGTACCTAAGCCAAATTAATTTTACCTAGTACAAAATATTTTATTTTTCCCAGAGTTTCTCTGGCGAACTTCCAAGAGTGCGGTAGGTAGACCAGGCTAATTTCAAGCGAAATGTCTTATAATAAGCGCTTCGAAATGTTGAATGCTTAAATTCGTGACCCTGATTTCATTTAATACCCACCTACACATTACAAAGTTGTTCGGACTGTATCATAAAACGTAAATCTTCAATGTTTTAAGCATTCTGGTACATGATTTTGTTATTTTAATAAATACGAGTAGGTGAAGAGTCGAGTAACAAATAAAATTCACTGTTTCAATAGGCTTTTCAGATCCTGATTCAGGTAAGGTACCGATAGAATGGTTAAACTATAAACGAAATGAATTCAAAGCCACTTAAATTTCAATTATTGTAAAGATTTATGCTGTTTCAAACATAAAACACGAGCTATTGTTTGTTACAGGCCAAAAGAAAGTCGTGTGGCCGCCAGTGCCCGAGACAAACGGCTACCATCAGCCTCAACAGGTGAATATCAATGATTTGTTACTACTTCACGAAAGAGAAACATCGATAATGTATATATAGAATTTGCAAATCATGAAAGCCGCTGCACATAGCAATCGCTTAGATGGCGGGATAATAATTGCATGCTTATTACATAATTATTATGACAAAATCCTTATTTTAACAGTGGCGATTTACTATAGAATTAGATTCTTTTGTAAATACTTTTACAAAAATGTCTAATTCGATCATAAAATGTATCACAATAACCCATCTGGAAAGAAAGTACTTAGTCCGATGGGTAAATACTAAATTACACCTAAGTAGACTCTGCACACTCGATACTAAACCATCCATAAGATAGGGCTGACATTGTCAAATATTTATATAAGCTAAGCATTATTGAATCCCAACAGCAAAATCCTGCGTACAACACGCAGTATTCACCGTCAGCGCAGCAGCAACAGCAGCCGCAATATCAACAGCCTCAATCTCAACAGCCTCAATACCAGCAGCCTCAATACCAGCAGCCTCAATACCAGCAGCCTCAATACCAGCAACCCCAATATCAACAACCCCAAAATCAGCACCAGTATCATCAACCACAGTCGCCGCAATCTCAGTCGGCGTTTTGCGAAGGTCGTCGCCAAGAGGCTACCGGCCTTAGCAAACTTATCCCTGTAGGGCCAGGAGTGACTGCCGCCCCTGCGCCCCAGGCTCCCTACCGCCAAGGTCCCCCGTCGCCAGGGATCGCGCCACAGCCCTACAGACAGCCGAACAATCGTTGGGCTCCTGTGCCTGCCCCTCTTTCCCCTCAGGTATCGGTCTACGTCGCCGATAGTTGTATGTAGTTGATCATGCACTTTCAATATTCGTAATACTGATACTTGGTTTCAAACAACGTGGCTTTCGGGCTTAAAATACCTAATTATAACAATATGTACTAGTCTTTTATACATTAGTAAGTTCTGAAAATTTCCACTTCGCTTTTGTAATAGACTAATTTTCTTGACTACAAAAATATGAAGATGCGAAAGGATATTCCTAAAAGCCACGTTAAATTTGTAGTAAATGCACTCCACTAATTTTTTTTCGTATTCGTATTGAAAGCCGAATTAGGTTCTGGCTTCATTAATGCGTCCATCGTTCATGGCTGCGTGTGCATCTCGCAATTTCAATTTTGCTTTTTACAGCGAAGGAAGCTTAATAAATTTGTGTTACGTTTGACTTTCAGCGTTTCATATAACCCTCACAAAAGCTTTTAATCTTCTCACATTTCAGTTTGCTACACATAAATTAATTATGTTTTAACTGACTTTAATCTAATTGAATTTCATAAACTGTACTTAGTTGTAACAAAAAAAATTGTTCTTTAACATTTTGATTAACTACGATGAAAACAAGTAGTTATTTGATTTGATCGTGTTAATCGTTTTCGACAAATATTAAAATGTATAGTGTGTAATGTAATGTACTTAATACTAATTACATTTATAAATGATATAACTCATATTGTACAGTCAGCGTTAAAACATTTTAGGAAGATCACGGTGTTCGTATGTTTCAAAAGACTGCTATGAAAGAAAAAAAACTGCTTTAAAATGTCTAATCAATATTAAAATAGTGTACACTTAATTCTTCAAATATCAAAATAAATGCTAAAGAAACTAACATAAACTTAGCCCAAATTACGTAAGAAACATAAATCATTTTAATGAAAATATAAATACTGTCATTGAAGATGTTACCTAATCTAAAAGGGTGCCTAGCACCTGAAAGTAACTAAAGTCAGTTTGTTCCTCTTAAAGTTACAACATTTTTGTACTTGCTGTTGCTAGTTAATTGAAAATTTATTGCTCTTTGACGCAGTAATTCATTGTTATTAATTAGGACAGGCCCATTTTCGCTGGAGTCTTCAAAAGTTTAAGAGTATCTCTTTAGAGTATCAGATAAACTTAGATTAAATCGATGTTTAAACTAAGCTGATAAGCAAACCTTTTAATGACGTCCTGAATATGTCGGCTACAATTTCATGGAAAATATTGTTATCATTTCGAGGATTCTAATTCTTTCGGATTCCATGAAAAACAATATCTAATATTTAAAACGAATTAGCTTTTTATTAACTTAGATAAGATATTTCTTGATAAACCAACTTTGACACACGGAAATGTAACTAAATAGGGCATTTTCAACCGCCATATATATTATGTCTGTTAATATTTGGACATCTTGATCACTTTCAAGTAGGACGCTGGCTGTACCAAAAGTGTTGCTAGATTACTAATTTGTGATACTGTCTACCAGACGCAAGGCTCTCAGCCAAACTACCCTCAGCAGCAGTACTCACAGTCCCAGTACTCGCCGTCCCAGTACTCGCCGCAGCCGCAGTACTCGCCCAGCTTCTCAGAGCCGGCGTATCAAGCACCACAGAAGCAGTACGAGCCACCACCGACCACTATCACACTGCGTCCTCAACAGCCTGTACATCAGCAACCGCCACCAGTCTTCTCCAGCCAGCCAGCTACAGCATCCTTCAAAGGTTTGTTGAAATTTCTTTTTCATCCCACCACCTCGGAAAGTGTAATTTTGCGCTTCGAAATCTGGCTGGAAAATTCTATTTTATTCGCTTGAGCGGCAAAGTAGATTTGAATTTAGAACATCACATATAATGAGTACTCAATATAATTGTAAATTCAAAACGTCATTAAACCTATTTAATGTAACCTCTATGGTGCCTTTATGATTAGAACTTTTTAAATTGTGAAAAAATTTAAATTGGGAACCTTCTTGGTTTCTTTGTTTTATTTGCGTGCTTCGCGCCATTCTAGTTTTTCACGTTTTATTGCTTAATATAATTAACATAACCTAAAAACTGTACAAAAAAATCAACTAAAATGAGTGACATTAGCGACGATGAAGTTTATCTAACGCCAACTGAGTTAACTGAAACAGTTAATAATGCGCAAATGAGCCTTCTCCCTCAGCAATCACGAGAGAAGTATTTGAAACAGTACGATATATTTAACATGTGGCGACTAGCTAAAGGAGCAAAAACTTTCTCCGAAAACGTTTTGCTGGCATATTTTATAGAATTATCTGAGACCAAGAAAGCAAGCACGCTATGGAGTACGTATTCAATGCTAAAATTAACAATTAAGATGAAGAAAGACGTTCATATCGACACCTATCATAAATTAGTGGCATTTTTAAAAAGAGCCTCATCTGGTTATAAACCAAAAAAATCGAAGGTTTTCACAGCATCTGAAATTGCAAAGTTTATTAATGAAGCACCTGATTCCGTATATTTAGTGGCAAAAGTAAGTCAATACGTGTAATTTTTTGTTGTTGATAAAATTGTACATAGTACTTACAATATTTTTAATTTGATTAATTTATTTACGATTATAAATACTTCTTTTGTTACAGGTTGTTCTTATTATTGGTATAACCGGAGCATGTCGAACAAATGAACTTACACTACTTAATGTCAATAACGTATCAAAATATTCTCATAATTCTGATGAATTGCTATTAATTAATGTACTAAATACCAAGACAAAAAAAGACCGCAACTTCGTTATTCGCAAGGAATATGTAAACATTGTTCAGAAATATCAAGCTTTACGTCCTTCTAACACCCCAATTGAACGATTTTTTCTACAATATCGCAACGGAAAGTGTATCCGACAACCTATGGGTCAGAATAAAATTGGCAGTATTCCACGAGAAATAGCAACTTTTCTCGGACTTTTAGAACCCCCGTTATACACCGGTCACTGTTTTAGAAGAACCTCAGCCACACTTTTGGCCGAATCAGGGGCTGATCTTCTATCGCTTAAGCGCCATGGAGGCTGGAAGTCTAATTCGGTTGTAGAGGGATACATAGAGGATTCAATCCAAAGTAAATCAAAAATTTGTAATAGTATCGTGGAGGCCATAACGCTGAAAGAACCTCTGTCAGATTCTTGGTCTCGCCCTTCTACATCTAAAATGAGCCCCCATAAGATTGGAAACAATAGCCCTCTCTCGCCAACATTTACGCCAATAGAATCCAATGAATCGGCACAACTATTTAAAATTACTGATACGAGTAGTTTACCACAAAACAGCGCACAATTCACAAACACCAACATAACATTACCTAACAAAAATATTAAACTTAACATAAGTAACTGTAGCAACGTTACATTTAATATTTCTTAATTATTTTCTACTTCTTATTATTTTCTTCAATTTATAGATTATCTTAATGTGTTTTAATTGAAATAAAAATATTTTGTCATTATAAATTGTTTTCTTTTTCATTTTGTCATTTCCTCGCTGAGGTGGGATGAAAAGTTACGTATTGCACTCGAGTGGAAAGATTTTTCACCTTGTGCTCGTTTGTTTCCCTCGCTGACGCTCAGGATTCTAATTTAGAATCACTCGCTGCGCTCGTGATTCAACTTTAGAATCCTTCGCTTGCTCGGTCATCCAAATCGAGCACGCGGTTAAAAAGGAACTTTCCACTCTTGTATAATAAATAACTATTTATGTGCAAAAGTGGCAAACCAAAGCAGCAGTACAAACGATCCCAGTACTCGCCTAGCTTCTCGGAGCCGGTGTACCAGGCAAGTTGTGCTTTGCCTGGTACACTCACTTTGGCTCTCACTTTGAATTTACCTCACTTACTTAATGTTACGTGTAAATGAAGTGTAAAAGTCCCTTCCGCCTCTTTACAAAATATTAAAAAACATAAGAAGTGTACAGTGGCCACGATGAAATATAAGAATTATCCAATCCAAAGTCTATTTTTTTCAGGTGAAAACTTCTTTAGTCTCATTGGGCTTAAATAATCATTTATCATATAAAATAGCCCAATATATCACTTTATAATTGATGATAGCAGCACTATTTCTGATACTTAGAAGATTTATGACACTAAATATTAACTCCTAAAGCCTAAATAAAAAAGCTGAAAATTGAATGTAACTACATTTTATGTTACACCTTGACATACAGCAACATAGTATCTCCAAGTTACGACAAATCATAACCGTAAGGATAGCAAGTGCAAGAACTTTATTTGATTTACAACAGTAATATGACGACGCGTAAACTTTAAGGAGACTACACACGACACGTCTCATCCTTTCATACAGGAGTGCTAAAATGAGATTGCATTTATATTGTTTCAAAATTGCCCTTTTATAACTGTCGTTGCCGCTTTACAAAAGTGACTTGAGAATCGTAAAAGCTTTAGTAGTACCTACTGGAACGCCGTGGTATCATATTCTTTGGTATTATTATAATGTAAATAGGTACTTTGAACAAATTTAAACTTAACGGGGTGGCAAGTCACCTCAATTATTATTTGTTCGAATGTTACCTACTGGTATTTAACTGTCACATTTTTACATATTATCTAAAATTTTGTATTGCGTTAGCTTCACTGGAGAAGCACTTGCAAAAGATTCACAGCGGTAGTGTAGTTGCCCGGCAGTGACGGAGAGATACACAGGTTCGAGTTCTGCTGATACCTGAGGGAATTTATTTCATCCGACATTGTTTATAACTATAGCACACTGCATATATTTAATTTATTTCTGAAGAATCTTAGAACGTATGCAATATTCATAGGAGGTGTCAATATGCGTGGAGATCTGAAGTGGCCACCACAGTCGGTGAAAGAGGCAGTGGCTGCCGAAAATGAAGCTAGAATACAGCTGGCCAAGGGTCCTGCCTGCAGACCGCGCAAGGTAAACATGCGATGGCATCATATTATGCTATAGTAAGCGGCAAACTTCTTGAGCAAAACCACAGACAATAAGAGTTGCGCTTTAGATGTTTTTGTATGTAAGAAGTTTGCCGGGGTGTATTATAAAAAACAATGCATTCCACAACAAAAACTAACTTTTTTTACGTTGCACAGTACCGATTTTCTAAAACTAGTTAATGTAAGAACTAAGGTACAACGTAAACGTAGATAATTACTTAGTTGAAAAACTGCCTCAGTTTAAGGGAATCACTTCGGTATTAATTTTAATGAGAATAAAATACTGTCTTACTATAGCTTATAACAATTTCCCACAGTTCCCTATTTTCCGATATGATTCTTGTGTATATGATATGCTTAATTTATCAGCTCAAGCAACATGTAAATAGTATTTATCGAGGCATTGCTGATCGAATTTATCAAGATTTGAAATAACAATTAAAAAATATGTAAATACATATACCTAAATACTAATTATGAATTTCGCTCTTCAAATTTACTAACATTTGTATATAAATAAATATAAAGCTAAACAGCGAACAAATTATTACTCATCCAAAAAATTCAAATGTAAAAATACCTATTATAAGTATTATTAATACTGCCTACTGCCAAAAGAGGTTTAATGGTATAATAACTAATATTTTAACTCCATAAAAAAATATAAAATTTTGGGCCCTACCGTGACAATGTAAAGTGTTGAACGAATTTTGTTTTAGCTGCGGCAATTCTCGCTTGCCGAATTAGTTGCCATGAACGAGGCGTAGGAGTCGTTCCCTACTAAAGCAGGACTTAATGCCGAGTCGTAAGTGTCGACGTTTGGGAGCGTGAAGCATCTTCTATTAACAGACTCCGACACTTGCCCAGAGTACCACTATTGAAAACTACCGCCGGAACTAAGCGGAAAAGAAAGATACTTTAATAGTTACATACGTCATATATACGAATAGAATTGAACTGGGAAAGTTTTTCCTGTCTTATAATTACCTAAATGAGAAAAAAGATATAGCTCGCAAGCGAATAAGGCTAAAAATTCACAGAGCTGTTTATTCTGGCACCCGCCGCGAGCGGAGGCAGAGCTGTTTAGTTTCAAAAGTCACGAGATCGCGTTTTTTTAATGTGTATGCTGTTGGTCGCAGATGACCTTTACAGCGTCACCGGGTTTGGGGACGGCGAGATCGTAAGGGGACCTCAAGCCGAGAATTGGCGAGTGCCTCTAGAAGTATTCCAGGCGGTTGGCATCTCCCCACGGGGAGAGTCTCCTCTCCGTCTGGAGCCTCTAGAGCACTCGAACTTGAGAGGGTCGGGGGCTAAGACTCGGACCTCGGCTCTACTTAGCCGTTGCGTGGGTGGCGGGGAAAACGCCCAGGTACGTACCTGGTATAGCGTGTCGTGTGTAGACCTGGGGGCCAATCGCCTAACGGAAATGCTTTGGAAAACGCTAACGCTTACGATTTTATTTTGTTATTTCTAGCCGCCTGAGGTATTCAAATGCCTCGCGCTCTTTCTTTTTCTTTTGCATTGGTAATAACAATATTAAAAAAAAATAGCGTGAGGTATTCGAAAACCTCAGGCGGCTAGAAATAACAATATAAAATCGTAAGCGTTAGCGTTTCCCAAAGCATTTCCGTTAGGCGATTGGCCCCCGGGTCTTCGCACTCTTATCCTAACGGGTACTGTGTCTACCTAATGCTAAGCTAGTGTGCAAGTATGTACACTCCGACAGTGTCCAAGTATCTTAAGTATAAAATTTTATATTATAATATTTTTAAAAAAACGGGGATAAAATAAATTCTAGTTTTTTGGCAAACAACTTACAATTAAGTGCACTACATCTCATAAAAACAAGTCGCAGTCTACCACCCTCCATACAAATTTGAACCGCCTTCTTTTGCAATTGTGTTGTCACATTTTCACAATTCAACACGACAATTTCACATTTTTCGGTCCCGCGGAGCCGCGGCGAGCGCGTGCAAAAACCACTTCGTGAGTTCTTAGCCTTATCTCCTAGAAAGTTACTCGAAGATATTTTAATTAATTAAACTCTTTCGTATAGTGATAGCGACATCTGTGAGCGAGTTCCCTTTGACATGTCCTTCCTTTCCGCTTCAGTTATTAAACTCCGATAGCTATTCGCCCTACCTCGTGCTAAAATTTTCAGCTTCTATACAACATCAACCTGGATTCGTCCATTGAAGATAGATACAGGTTTGCCATCCGGAACACGCACAGGAACTGACAGCCTTGATTGGTGAGGGTAATCGCGTTGCCGTTGTTAGTAGAAACGTCTGCCATCCTTTCGCTTTTTTTACATGATAAGTACTTAGTGAAACTTGAAAGCTTGAATTAAGAGTAGTTCAATAGTGGTACGGGCCCTTGGAGGGTGTAACTAGTATTAGACCAGTCGTACCTCGTCTCACTAGACGCGAACACCTAACTCGCGATCTGTATAGGCTTTGCATTTCTATTCTATGGGTAGACAACGTTCTTAGGAACCGATTTTCGACAGCAAGGTTCTTTTTTAGAAACTTTATTTTAACTTTCTTGGAGCTCTCATAACATTTTGATGTGTAGTTGTCTTACGTCGGGATAGATGGCACAAGCATGGTAACGAATTCCAAAAGAATGTAGCAATGATGTAATCCTTTAATCAACTGTAGTTTTAATTACTATAAAGAACCTTTTATTAGTTGGGAATTTTAGTTTTATTTCTTGACCCTTCGGGCATTCACATGTTGTCAACCTATACACCTCATGGTATCATGTAATAGACTAAAAAAAACACGAGAACATCCATACTTTTCTTTCTTCAGCTATGCTTAGTAGAGCTGTTTAGGACATGCATGGATGTTGAACGATCAAATATGTATTGTTTATTACTAGTAGAAGGAAAATGATACATAAGCCGCAACACAGATCTTTTTAGCAATCCAGTCCATGGTCAGAATCTTGCAATATAAAAATGGTAGTGATACTTTTACAAGCGAACAAGTTTATGCGTTTAGTAATAAAGTCCAGAAACTGGACGCACAAAAATATCTGTTGTCTGTGATGATTATGATTGTATAATACGCATAGTGCAAATATCAACACAAATTGTTGATAACAATTTTGTTTAGTAGTTACGTCAAATGTGTTAGAAATTGAAACTACTTTTTGTGCCGTCATTTGTTTTGTATCAAATAATTAATTAGTGTTAGTTAATATTTCGCGCTATTACCAACGTAATTATAATACAATATGAACTTTATTTATAGGTAAAGAAGGATTACACTCAATTCTTCGCGAAGAACGCCCTCAACCAGAACTACCCCGGATACCGTGTGCCACCCGGCACGCAATACTACCAAGATCATTCCGGCCGATCTTCCTACTAAATTTAGAAAATCCATTTAGTATTACGAAATAGTCAACTAAAATTCTTGGGAAACATTCGTGAAAAATAAAACTTTATCTTAATCAGATACGAATGAATATTCCCTTTAATAACTCGAACAATATCAGTTTCAGTCTCATTAATAAACAGGTGTTTCAGCGACTTTATTGATGCGAAATCGTGTCTATTTATTTATTGTTTTTTATAGAAGGGGCAAAGCTTCAGTAAAGTCGAAGGAATATTTGACAGCTCATTGAAATCTTCTCATCAAATTAAACGCGAAGTCTTGACTTCACATTAAGTACTTGTATAGACTTTAGGCATTAAAGTCTTGAGGCATGTACGGGATTACAATCAGTGCTTAATTTTTAGTATTTAATTTATTGTTAACCATTAATTAGTGTTTAAGTTAAAAAAATATAAAAATCATAAAAATATCAATAGCATTGTCATTTCAAGCATCATTTCGATGAATCATTATTTACTATTGTTATACAATAAACTAACTCAATTACATTTCGATAAAAATGTGCGGCTTTATACATTGCGAAACTATGCGAAATAAGTTTAATACAATATAATTATGCTTTTTAATACAAAGTGTAAATAATGCTCACTTACTGTGAATATTATGAACATTGTTGCTATCTATGTTTGTAATATAAGTAAGGAAAATGCTTCTTTAAATCAAGAGATGTAATATTAACACGGCGTTCAAAGATTGGTCATAAAATTGGCTAAAGCTTACCTACCTAGTCATGAAGAGATTATCAAAAATATTTTTTGTATATAAAATTTCAAAATTGCATTGTCGATTTGGTATTGTGATTGTATTATAAAGTAATAAATTATACCAAATATCTCATCTTTAATTTTATTCACAACCGACTTGGTTAAGAAGTTTCCTAATAATAAAAATATTTAAGTGAATAATTTTTATTAAAATTGTTTCAGTGGTTTTAAACTAATCAGAAAAACAGACGTACTATCACATTTAATTAGTAATGTTAATAAATTCTGCATCACAAAAACCGTTTAATTGAATAATATTTCTATTAATGAGCTGATTACACACCACATTACCTATAAAATCTGAATTATGTTTAATCAACTAAACTTGAGAATTTAGTAACTTTGCTGATAGCAGAAGGCATTTGGGGTCGAACCACAAATGCGAAAATGTTATTTATTGTAATAGGTGACTGGCTGAGTCGTTATGACTACGTATTGTAACACATTAGCGATTACAAAACGGATGCATTGGTGGTGTGAATAGTTTTAATTTATTTGATAAATCTGTGCAAAACAGTATCATTACGATTTTATTTATTTTTTAAGCATTTAACTGCTAGATGTTTAAATCTAAAGAAAAGTTTACTAGAAAAAAATCCACGCGGACCAGGCAGCGGACGGGACTCGAACCCGCATCCTTCGCTATCCGGGCGAATGCACTGACCATTATGCTACCACGGCCCTGTTAGCCGCGTCGAAATTTTCCTAGCCTTAAGCTGAAAGCCATTTTTTTCTAGTAAACTTTTCTTTCGATTTAAACATCTAGCAGTTAAATGCTTAAAAATAAATAAAATCATAACTATAATTGCTATTTCTTCTTTCAAATGTTTAATACTTGAAAAAGTATTCATTTGACATTGTGGGTTGCCTACAATGCGAAGAGATAGCACTGCCTTGCAGCTTAAGGCTAGAAAAATTTCGACGCGGCTAATAGGGCCGTGGTAGCATAATGGTCAGTGCATTCGCCCGGATAGCGAAGGATGCGGGTTCGAGTCCCGTCCGCTGCCTGGTCCGCGTGGATTTTTTTCTAGTAAACTTTTATTCAGTATCATTACCTTTAGGGTTACTTATGATACATCGAATAAATAAATAAATAATAATAAATATTTCCGACACTCACACCAATTAGCCTAGCCCCAAAGTAAGCACTATAAGCCTTGTGTTATGGGATGCTAGGGTAACGGATAGAATACATATACTGTACATATATAAGTATATTTATATAAATACACATTAAACATCCATGACTGGAGTACAAATGCTCGTATTCATCACACAAACATCTGCCCCCACCGGGATTCGAACCCGGGACCTCTCGAGTCGGCGACAGCCATGAAACCCGGCGTACAAACCACTCGGCCACGGAGGTCGTCAAAATTAATAGATGCAAAAGGGATATATCATAAAATTGAAACAGTTTTTTTTTAATACGAAAATATTATATTATCATACATTACATACATTGTGTACAAACCACGCTGTAACAGCTGTACTGAGTGCAATCCAAAAACGTGTCCAAAGAACAATCTAGCAAGCTAAAACACCTTCCTATGTACAATTTGTTAAGAAACCAACTCGACTATAAAAAGCATAATATTGTCAGACGCTTATATCTCATACCATTAATATCACAGTGGTAACCAATTTATTTACATAAACATATTATGGCTACGCCTACTGTATAAAACTATTAAGATGTATTTTATACCCACATATTTGCAATGGATCCTGTTACCTTAGAAAACTATTTCCCATTTAGACTGGGCGCATTTGTACGGTTTTATGATTTGGTTACCTGATCAGACCTTTATGCACGTCCTAACGTACAAAATGTTCGAGGCGAGGCGTACACTATTCTTTAGATGCTGTTCAGGAATTCAGATTCGAAATTCCGTGAGCCTAGCGCAGACGTTTCAGTTTTTTTATTAGTTAAGAGTTCGATCTGAACGTTAGGTTTTTCCAACCTTAAAAAAATAAGAATAATGTGCGCCTCGTTGATCATTTTGTATGAAAGTAAAGACGTGCATTCAGTTTTACGAATGGAAATTCCTAATTAGGAAACCGTACATATGCGCCCAGCCTTAAGCTGGTAACTGACTAGCAAGTAGTAACTACAAAACAGTAATTAAAATGGAGAGATTTTATTAAAAAAATAGGCTTTGCCTACATCAAAATGACGTCAAATAATAAACAACTTCTTCTAAATTACTTTAGTGCTCCTGTAACACGCAGGCGACGTGTTAAAACAAATAGATAACGTACTTACAATTTTCGACTTTATACCATTAAGACCTTATGTCAATAGCAATAGAAGCTATAATTCATAGTTCAGGATTCGCGTGATTTGAGGGCATGCCACATCTACACTGCCGTCCTCAAACTAAAGTGCGGCTAAGTGACATATGGTCGGTATTTTAGTCTTAAATTGCAAGTTATACAGTTTTTAATTCTTTATCGATCTGTTTTTATCAATTATTTGTATTTTTTATAGTTTAAGTCTAAAAACCCGTCAAACGCCGTTTTTGTCCATACCTCAAAAGTTGGTTTTGTCATTTAGCCGCGTTTTAGGTTGAGGGCGGCAGTACGAACTGCATGCACTCTTAACCGTGAGTACGACTTTAATTATAATTTCGTTCATCACATAGACAAAAGTATTTGGTATGTGGAAATTTGAGAGGAGCCTCTCCTTTTTATTCCCTAAAGAGCATGATAAAGATATACTGCTGTCTAATTTATGAATAGCAAATACGGATGGTATCATAATAACACATATCTTATGTGCGCACACGTATCAGAATTTAAAGTTTTCTTCTCCGCTGTAATGTTAATAAAGCAACCTTTCTTGTGTAAGCAAAATTGACACTTCCGTGATATTATACTATATAGACCTTTAAAATTTCGGGAGCAACGAAATGTAGAAACGTGTGTCGTTATAAATAACCTTTCCCCGATAATAGATAAGCTTGCCAGAGCTTTGTTGTTCAAATGTTTTCATGATCTATTGATAAATGATGCCTTCATTTGAAGATAAATAGGTATTTAATCATGAATTGGCTGTGGAGCAGCGTTGCCATTGATACGGCAATTAGAGCTCATTATTTCAGATTATACGACATACGGCAGGTTTGTCATTGCCGTATAAATACGGCAATCCAATTTTATTTTGAATCGATTTACAAGGATAATGAAATGAGTTAATTACGATTCCAAAAAAACATCGTATAAAATTGTAGTTTAGGCACATCCTTGGCACGGAGAATGTATCCTTACTGGGAATCCACGTGCAGTATAATCAATTTAGCTGAAACTGTAAATGGAACTCTTTTGGTGAAGCAAGCCATTAGAAATCATGTAAACTGTACAACATTTCAGCCACCCCGTGACATGTATGTGAAAATTAAAAACAAGGACAAATATTGGTGTCGATTCTAACATGATTCTCTAAACTTAAAACTAAATTTAACATCAGTCTCACCTTTTCATTCTGTATAGAGAATGACAAGGATACACTGTTATCAAATTTAAGTTTAGCTTTAGAGAAACATGCTAGAATTGACACTATTGTTTAAATAAACACGACAGCGAAATAGTTCAGTCTATTAGAAATCTGTATGGCGATGATATTAATGAGTAGGTTAATTTTTTATTTGTTTCCTTTATAATATAGTTACTATTAATAAGTTACTAAATACCTATAAATTTTACTAAATAAAATTAGGTAATACGGCAATATCATGATTTTTATTTAAAAATACGGCAATCTGATTTATCGAATACGGCAACTGTATCAAACTTGATGGCAACACTGCTGTGGAGTCAAGTTTTTTATGTTTAGATTCAACGTAAAACAACCAAGCTATGATAAGACTATCTATTACTCTGTACAGGACTATGAATCAATACAATATTATAAATTGACATCAGTTCAATACTAGTCAGCTTTCTAATTGCTGCACAGATAATCGCCTTATTATATCATAATTAGGCCATTTGTTCAACAGGTTCGAGTACAACAAAAAAAACAAAAATTGCGATTTGCTTTTAAATTTACATACAGTTCTTCAAACTATAAAAACTGACCAATCAATTTTCAGCCTTAGTGTTTGATTTCAGAGTTCTAAATCATTTGCATTTTTTTTATTTAGCAGAATCTAACATATAATTGTACTGAGACCTATCAGTGTTTCGAGTTAACAGTATCAAAACAGTGGTTTTCTAATCCTAGATTATGTTAGTATTGGGCAGTATCTACTATACGGTAAAATTTTATTTACGGTATTTAGAAACAAAGAAAACTGTTACAACACACGAAACTTATACTATGAATTAAAACAGTCATCACAATCATACAAATAAATGCACATTTCATATTTAAAAAAATGATGAAATAAACATTATAGTATTCAAATTAACGTACTTAGCGGGATTGCTAACATGTAGGTACCTATATGCCACGATCACGGCGGAATATTTGTAATTAATTACTATAATATTATTGAACATGAAAGTTTAATACAATATATGATATAATTAACCAAACATTCCACTAATAGAATAACGATTATAGTATTATAAAGGTATAAAAATATGCTGCATCGATTTTATATAAAAACAATAACAATAAGTTATTACAAAGGCACCAACGGAAATTGAAGACCTGAACGGAATTGTCATTAATATAAAAAATAACTTCGTAAGAATGATAAGTTACACTTTTTTGTTTGTCTTTTATGATAAAAGGAATCATAATAAAATTTACTAAACTATAAATAAATATTAAGACTGTCAGTTATATCATTTGCAAATATTAAAAAGTACCTCAGTATCTTATTTTAATCTGAGTACATAATTATATTATTTATTACCCTTACTTTGGAAAACATATTTTGTTCAGCAAAAGGGCAATGACGACCTATCGTATTTTTTAATAACTTCAAATATGTTTTAACCATTGATTACCTTAAAGTCTCATTTGATTAAGTCTAAGTGTTTTTTTAGACAAAATAATTACTATTTTTACCTTTTTTTTTGTTCTATGGAAAACGGCATGCGTTATAAAATAGGCCAAATGAGATATAATTAATAAAAAAAATCACAGGTTCTATGCAATAGCAGTGCTACAATTACAAGATCAGTTTCAAAAACAAATTCAATTTAAGCCTAACTAGTACATTATTTCCGTGCATAACATATTATGCATTCCGAATTTAAAGTTTGTTCTTTGCCAAATAAGGCAAAGTACTATACTCCACAAGTCGTACAGAATATAACTGGGTGCAAGCAGCGAAACATTCTTGACGGCATGAAATTCTGCGTTCAATCTGATTGCGTATTTAGATTTTTTTTTATTATTACACGTTAAAAAACAATAGTATTTATTTTGATAATATATCATTATTCTCAAAATAATACCAAATGCGCACTAGAATTTATTTGGATTTCTTTAATACGAGCCATTTTTTTATATTCTTCAAGTACAAATTTAACAAATTGCATGATATTACAGTAAAAAAGTTAAATTGAATGATTGAAGTGAATTCTCAAAAACGCCATGTACACAATCAAAAAAGTCCTAAGAAATTTTGTGGTTCGGAGTTAGCTTTCGAAGCTATATTAGCGTTGCCTTGCAAGTCACTTATAACATTTCTACAAACATATCGCCAGAAAACAGATCTGCGACACTCCTAAAACTTAACAACGGTATAATGCGATTCAAACATTACCACGGTAGTGAGGTTAGCAGCGAGCGCAACTATACGCGAATTTCAGATCAGTACCCTTAGTACGAACCAATATAATCGTCATCGAGAAATTTGTTAGGGAAACTTGAACAGCGCCACAGCGGTCGTAACGGGAATTAAAAATCAGCAGCACGAACTTCTTTACATTTGACGCGTATCTAGATCGACTTCAACCATTCCAACTCTATAATGGTTCGTGCTTAGGATACAGTAGGTAACATCCTACATTACCAATTTAAATTTACTATCACTATAGAAAATCCCTGTCACAATATAAATTAAAAATAGGAATCAATATAATAATTAATAATGTATTGTAACATATTTGCATGCTATTTTAGATGGTTGAATGGGTTGAACTACAAAATTGTAAGAACCCCAATGTACCCTATTTGAATTACTCTATTTGAATAGCAAATAAATAAATTCTAATTAATGTAGTTTACTGCGCTAATGTATGAACCGCATTATAATCTGGTGAACTGAATTAGAAATTTTTACCTATATATCGCAGTGGGTATCACACTAAGGAAAAACCTTGTGTTTGCTGTATGGCTTGCAGCAGATAGTATTTGAGACGTTCTTTGGTCTTGTATTTAGGGAGGTCTAAGAGATTGAAGCAAGTATGCGCCACGGGGAAGTACCGGTCGTCGGCAACGGGTTGGATTCTTATCTGGAAAACAAGTAAATAAATAAATATTTCCAACACTCACACCAATTAGCCTAGCTCCAAAGTAAGCACTATAAGGCTTGTGTTATGGGATACTAGGGTAACGGATAGAATACATATAATGTACATATATAAGTATATTTATATAGAAATACATTATTAAACCTCCATGACTGGAGTACAAATGCACGTATTCATCACACAAACATCTGCCTCCACCGAGATTCGAACCCGGGACCTCTCGAGTCGGCTACACCATGAAACTCGGCGTACAAACCACTCGGCCACGGAGGTCGTCAAGCAGATGTAATAAAATCGTTACTGACGCGCTGAAATGCGATATTTTTATATGTTGTAAAAAAAATCACGCAGATTGTAAGTCCATAATCGAAAAATTCAATCTTAAATGATGCCAATGCAAGACATTCTGTATCTTTTGCTCTTCCTGACAGGAATAATGCGGCAAAAGGTCTTGCATCGCTAGCAGGAGTTTAGAGGCATTAGTAACAATAACATTTAAAAAAAACAATGAGAATCATAACTAGGTCAACTAAGAATCATAACTAAGCAAATCAACTGAAAATCAAAAACAGTATAATGATCTAATGATCTTTTTAATTAATACACTTTTTAAATCATCGGAATCAGTTCATTCCTTGCGATTAATAATTTATTTATGGTACCACTGTATTTATGGTAGCCAATATTCACCGGCGGCCGAAACGTGTGATGTCACAGAGCTCGATCGTGGTTCACTCCGGTCGAACTTTTGTAGCGTCTCTACGCACGCTCGCGCCCGAGCACTAGAGTTCTGTGACGTCACAGTCGCCAAAAATTCGTTTAGTAATTTGGTCATAACTTCGTCGATATTGGTCGTAGAACAATAATTTAACCACTGTATTTTATGGAATCCTTAGCTCTTTAAATCGGGCATTCTCAACTAAAATCGTTACGGATCCTCATTACGATAATTCACAATCAGGCAGATTATGAATTACGCCAAAAAAATGTTTACGTAAACTGACTATAATAATTACCTACTACACATATTGACATCAACATATTAAAGAAAATGTGTAAGTAAAGTTGGGTCTACAGCAGAACTTTTTTAAAAACATTTAACAAAATACACAAAACTTTGTTTCTGAAACATGTTTCTCTACACACGCCGTCTACTGCTCACGTGGATGTCGTACACAAAATATACATAAAATACACATGGCTGCGTTCCAAACCTACGATCCAGGTGCAACAAATGTCTCAAATTTTGTATGAGCGACTGCCCCAGCAGTGTATAAATATTGTACTGAGTAATATTTAATGCTGAATATTTATAATTTCTATGTAAAAAGGATCAGGAACTTTTGATAAAGTTACAATCATGAAAATTATGAAAACTCCTACTACGCCATTACCAAAATTCATCAAATCAAATTTCAATCAAATAATAGTAATAATATTTCCTTATATTTTTAATTGTGTAAGTGTTTTCCACCGGACTCGGAAAGCAAAAATGTTAATGCAAACAAATATTTGTAGTGAAACAAAGTTTTGAGTAGATTTTGTAGAATGTTGATATGTTCTTGTTGATTATGTAGGTGCGAAAATCGCTTTTGTTCATATATTTTATAGGAGGAAGGATTTTTGATTATTCGCACGCCTCACGACAACCATAATTCGGGTTAATCAAGTCTCTGGTAATTTAAAATGTGTAATAATCGAGTACAATAATACAAACCTTGATGTCCCTCATTCCTTGTATCGGTACCCGGTCACTGCCAGTGAGGAACAACAAGAACTTTTTCTTATCTTCCAATGAAAGTTCATGAAACACTTCCCAGAACCATCTGAAACAAAATGAATTAATTCTATAAAATTAGAACCTTTTCGTATTAAAAAATCTAACATATTAAAGTTGGAACTTAAATTGTGTATTGTGAAATGGCACTAAACACTTATGATTAAGGATCTTTTTTTTTTCATTAGCATATTTTTTCCTGACCTACCTGAATTTTCAAAACCAATGATGTTCTAATTGAAGTTAGCAATACCACGTGTTAATGTCACTTACTGAAGTATTTTAACTTACCTGACTTGCTGATCACTGGTGGTATAGCCATTTTTGTATTCGCAATTGTTTTCAAACAACTCCCAATCATACTCCTCGTTGCCAATCACCACCGACATCAGTTCGTGGGACCTAAACAATTTTATTATTCTACCTCCGCACACCTACAACAAAATATTCATTCAAAATTTATCTTAAACAAATAAAACAAATTTTCGGTATTATAAAATTAACATCATCCATCCATACCAATATTATAAATATGAAAGTGTAACTGTCTGTCTGTTACCTTTTCACGCTTCAACCGCTGAACCGATTTATATGAGTTTGGTATAGAAATAGTTTCAGTTCCGGTTAAGAACATAGGACAAATTTTATCCTAGAAATCATCCCTTTAATGGGGTGAAATGGGGAGCAAAAATTTTATGGAAAACCAATTTTTCCACGCAGACAAAGACGCGGGCACCCTCTGGTATTAAATAAGTGCTTTTTTTTACAATCTTCGTCAATTCAAAATAGAGACAAGTGACAATGAATACAATTTAAGTAAACTCAATTAAATACATTGAACACATATATCATTATTTGTCGTTTATAAATGCATAATATAAATAAGAAGACAATTGTGCACCCAATTCGCATTATGATAAGAATTATTATTTGTTAAAGCTGTACAATTTTAATCGAAACCTGCATTTAGCTTGATTCGCGTAGAGGCAACGGTAATATGCCCACATAGCATATCAGTTAAGATATTACACAACAATATAATCACTACTAAACAAGCAGCATTGTAAGTTTTTTTATTACTAGAAAAAAATCTACGCGGTTCAGGCAGCAGACGGAACTCGAACCTTTCGCTATCTCGCCGGATGCACTGATCATTGCTACCGCGACCTTAGTGATCTTGTTGAATTTCTTCTAATATTTCTTAGGCTGCAAGGGAGAGCCATCTCTTCTTTTTTTTATAATAATCTTCGCACAATGTCGAACGAAACTTAAGATTTAAACATCTAGCTGTTCAATGCTTAAAATAAAAATATAATAAACAGCATTTTTTACCTTCTGAAAACCTTTGTTGAATGCTTTGAATTGATTCTCCACGGATTTGTTGAGCAAGAAGTCTACATACAAGTCGACGTACTCCTGCTTGTTCTCGTGCGTGACGGGCACGTTCTCGCCGTCCTCCTTCAAGTGGTGCACTTGTATCTGGTCGAACACTTCTGTGTTTACGGCAAAACATAGGCTGAATACCTAAGAATAAAGTTCTTTATCATTATCCGACACCTGCGAATACATTGTTTTAAACTTTCATGGTCATCATCATCATCATCAGTTTATTAATGTCCTCACTGCTGGGGCACAGGCCTTCCCTATGGATGGAATAGGGAGAATAGGCCATGACCCTACACGCGGGCCCAGTGCGGATTGGTGGGTGCTGAAGTCTGCAGATGCAGCCGGGACCAACGGCTGAACGTGCCTTCCGAAGCACGGAGGAGCTCGAGATAGTAAATATTTGGTCACCCATCCAATGACCGACCACTGCGAAAGTTGCTTAACTTCAACGATCGTAGCCGAACGCGTTAATTACCAGCTCCTCATTCCTCCTTTCATGGTCACCAACATTAAAGTAATTTGTGTTATTTATGGGATTGCTACCTGTGTGAATGAAGTGTATGTTCCTTGTTTTTAGCGAGTTTCCGATATTTGGGCACTGTTACAAATGCCATGATCACGGAGTAACTGTTAATAGTGACTTAATCAATCCCGTAAATAACATTAATTACTATAATACCCGCGAATACAGTTCATCGTCATTGTCGGCTTATGAATGTCCCCACTGACGGCACAGGCCTTCCCTATGGATGGACTAGGGAGATTGGTCGGCTTTAGAAACGAAGGATAAATTAAGCGACCCTGGCGTGAAATTCATTTTCAAAGTCGAACACTTCTATGTTCACGCAAAGCATAGGCTAAACACATGCTGATGTATGTAGTTTATTATTAACATATTCGATCCATGTATGTCCCCAATGCAAGGCTACAGGCCTTCGCTGTAGTTGGCATAGGGAGATTAGGCTATGGCCAATTAACTTGTATCACTTCGGTGTTCACCGCGAAGCATAAACTGAAAATCTGCGAATACATAAAGGTACAATTCCGAAACGGGCGGCAGACTGCAACCACCCTCCGCGACATTGCGGCTAGCGGCTGCGGTCGAACGCAGTTTCGCCTGCGATCGTGGTTGGTTTTCCATGCACAGCGACATACCACGACTTCACAATGCAAAAATGAATAATAAATAAATATTTCCAACACACACCAATTAGCCTAGCCCCAAAGTAAACACTGTAAGGCTTGTGTTATGGGATGCTAGGGTAACGGATAGTATTGTACATATATAAGTAAATTTATATAAAAATGCATATTAAACATCCATGACTAGAGTAGAAATCCTCGTATTCATCACACAAACATCTGCCCCCACCGGGATTCGAACCCGGTACCTCTTGAGTCACGCGACACCATGAAACCCGGCGTACAAACCACTCGGCCACGGAGGTCGTCAACATAGAATAGGCTCAGTCACTCCAGTCTGTCTGCGATCGATACGCGCTGCGGCTGCAGGCCGTTTCGCCGCATTCGGAATCAACTTCATAGAGATTCATAGAAACAAGTGGTGTCACTGCAGTTTGTGGTTGGTCCTTCTGGCGAAGTCGAGTAAGGGGTATGTAAATCTCACCTCTTCCACGTCGTCGTCTGGATATTCGAGTAAGCTCTTCAAACTGTTCGCGAGCGTCGGGTAAAGGTCTGATATGTCATCGAGCATCACCGACTCGCCGAGTATCTTCTTGTACAACACCAATGGGAAAGGCACGTAGATTATAATGGAGTTGTAAATCGCCAGACCATATATGGCACCTATAGCAAATATTCATATTATAGAACTGTAGTAGTAATTCAAAGACTAATGACCTAAGTAAGACAAAACCTGGTATTTATACTAATATTGAGTGGCTGAAGTCGTGGCCACCCAGATAATGACCTATTTTCATAATCTACCCTCCCATTCCGCGAACTTAAAAACGCACCCTCGTATGTTCAAATGCATCGAGATCAAGATTGTTGACAATTTGGCTTGAGTTATTACTTTATAAGAGTTATTAAAGTTAGTTATATGATAAATTTAAATATTCATATTGATTAGACCGCCACTATTAACTAGAGGTTGCCCGTGACATCCTCTGCGTAAAAATAATGGTTTCTTGTAGAAAAATCCACCCCCGTTTTCACCCCACTTAAAGATATTTTTTGAGATAAAAACTATCATATGTCCTTCCCCGGGAAGCACACTATCTTTATATTAAATTTCATTTAAATCGGTTTAACGGTTTAAACATGAAGAGGTAACAGACAGACTGAAAGACACACTTTCGCATTTATTATATAGGTGTTAGCATAGACTTATCCTGTTTGCAACATTTTCTTTGTGAATGATTATCAAAACTACTGTCAAATATAATAACAACTTACCGATCAAATAATACATAATGTCGTCCTCAAACGGGTTATTGGAGAACCATATCATGTTGGTCTCCTCGGATTGCTTGAACATGCCATACACAGGGTCGAAGATCTCTTTCAGGAGTAACATGAAGAATTCCTTTCTAACACCGCCGGCATCTTCCGCTTCTTCGCCGACGAATTCCACCTTAGACAATTGCATATTCGAATCAAAAAATATAAAAATGCAAAGCGTTGTTGTCAACACTTAATAATTCAGGGTTATTAAAGTAAAAAACACTATAAGGGTAAAAAAAACAAGAAGACGTTCAACGCGTAGTCAAGACGCTAATGTTCTAATTATAATGTTTGTTTAAACATGATGTAAAACAGTGTCTCACTTTCTGTGGTACATATCCATTGGTGTTTATTCATTTCAAAAGAAGAAGAAAGTACAAATTATTAATACTTGGCATTTTATAAAGCATCAAGATTATTGCGTTCTGTAAATTGCCATTCTAATTTGTGTTTAGCTTTTATGTCAGTTACAAAAGTATTATTAAGATTAGTTGGACATAGGTGTCGATTCTGGCAGGATTCTCTAAACTTAAAACTAAATTTAACATCAGTCTGTCCTTTTCATTCTTTTAAGAGAATGACAAGGATACACTGTTGTCAAATTTAAGTTTAGATTTAGAGAATCGTGTCAGAATTGACACCATTATCAAACTTAGGGCTTAACTTAGACAAAATTAAAGAACAAAAGCTGGATGTTGAATTTTAGATTTAATTCACACCGGAACGGTAACGGTAAACACAAATTAGAATGGCAAATGAATGAATATCTACCACAAAAAAGTTGGACCTGTTTTAAATAATGTTTAAACAAACATAATTATGACATTATCGTCTTGAGTACGCGTTGAACGCCTTCCTGTTTTTTTTTTTTGTAATGCTGTAAACCTGTGTAAAAAGAATTATAGCTAACCAAATCGCCCTATGAAAAGCTCGACGGCGCAAGTGGTTAGCTCATTCGGCTGCGATAGCAGCTTTTGCATTGGTCGGCATTGGATGGGTGACCAAAAATGTACACTCCTCCGTACTTCGGAAGGCACGTTTAACCGTTGAACAGCTATTAAACTAACCAATTTTAAGGGCCCTATCGAAAGGGTGGGCGTATCCCCTAACTAGCTAGTATAGCAATTATTACACCGCCTTATCAATCGGACCCAACTCAGTCTGAAAGTAAAAGTCGTCTCGGTTGAACGTCGTCGTTATAGCACCCGATGCATTCTGATCACATTTTTATAAACTTCTCATAATTGTTCGGTACTAATAACATGTAAATGATCATCAATTTTTAATTCTCACATAAAAATAATTGTTAACCCAAATGTTAGATAAGGTTACCAATTGTATTTTTTTAAGGATCAATTACTATTTTTTTGACTGATTATTTAAATATGTGCTTCATTTAAATAGTTATTTATTTCTTTTTTGCCTTATAAATCAAAAATCTCAATTAAAATTATGTAACACTTCTTTCTCTTCATTACATGCCATCGCGCCAATAAACTAATTCGACTACAAAAACGTCCGTACTATACGCTCTAAGGGCGTCGACTGAGCTCCCTTACTGCCTAACAGCTATTTCACTACCTGATTGTTAGGGCGTAAGGGAGATCGGGGCACGCCGATAGCCCTAGATCGGGTGTCACATTCCCTAACTCTTATTTCACCACCCTTAGTCAAGGTAAGGGTCCCTTGAAATTGGGTAGTCAAATAGGGCTTTTAGTACCGGCTGCATCTACAGTCGTCAGCACCCACCAATCCACGCTGAGCCCGCGCTGTGGGTCATGGCCTAATGTCCTTATTCCATCCAAAGGGAAGACCTGTGCCCCAGCAGTAGGGATATTAATAGGCTGATGATGATAAATGCTGTAAACCTATTAAGGAGAATTATAGCTAAAACTTACCCGAAGTGGTTTCTTCAGCTGCGACGTGTCATGGTTACTGATCTGCAACATCGTATCTCTCACTATGTGGTTCCTAGAGACAGTCAGGCTTAAGAACTGATCACCCTGATGGTAATCGTACGTAGGGTCCGTGAACAACCGCGTGAATATCTGCGTGGCGGCGCGGCTGATCGCCACTTGCATTTGTAATTGTTGGTCGATTTTGAGCAACAACGATTTGCATTGGACGTCGAATAGGAAAGGATAGTTGCACATGTGCGGTTGAGTTGACTGAAAAAAGAACAGGTTGCAAAATTTTAATACCTCAGAACGCCTAGGAGCCTAGTACGTGCACGAAGAAGGCGCAACTCAAAGAGAGCCAGATATGGCTTAGTTCGTTGAAAACCTTTTTCGACATTAATAGAGGAAGTATTAATAAAATTATGAGGGTGAGTCGACTGAAAACGATCGAATTGGACTTTAAACTTTTTTGAAGATAAATAACTTAAAGGAAGGACAACAAAATATTATCTTATATTATATTAGTTATATTTTTTAATACTAAACAAAACCGAGCCGAATATAACTCATGTAATTACAAAATAAGAATTGTCGGGTTTATTGATTGTAATAATAATGGAACGTTGGACTATGCAGTCCTCAGCGAAACCAGATTGAGAGTCTAAGCCTCACAGCTTCGTGTTATTAAAATAGGTTCAAATTAAACTAGTATTATAATACATACAGCCAAGAAATAGGCGATTGGAATTTGTCTATTTGTTTCTATACGTCAATGGTAGTGTTTCTATACCAATAAAACTGTTTCTGACCATTCAGAACCTTATAGTTATGACGATAAAGTATAGATTTAACTCACGCTATGATCCGAGAGCCAGTTGATGTAGTCAGTGGCTATATCCACATGGGAGCAGAGATCCTCTATGTAGAAACATTCCGCTGGGATTTTGGGTTTCTTCGGATTCGTGAAGTTGATTTTATTCAATGACGATAGTGTATTTAATATCTGGACTATGCTATGTGTGAAATATATTTTCTGAAATAATTTTATTCTTTATCCACATTTGTGTAAAGTTGAAAGACGTATTGAATTGACATTGCTCAATGTAATAAGGTCATTAATGCCATGAAATGCCCTTTGAACATCTGTTTATTTGATAAGTTATGATTTTTCGTCCATGAGTAACGTATTAAGCAAAGAGCAATGAAATGTAAATCAACAACATGAATACAATGTTTAATGTTAATCATAAACAAATAAGAACAAGCAAGCAACAATAATATCAAAATTTTTCATTAGTAACCATTCCATCGTCACCATGCCAGTGTTGCCACTTTAGCGTTTTAGTAGCCAGATTTGATGACTTTTATATATCCTATAGCGGCTACTTTTTGATACATATGGGTATGTCCAAAAATAGTATCTACTTTATTTTAGTTTTTAAATACTCAGTGTTTTAGAAATTTTCTAATAATTATATCGTCTATTATGATAGTATATGCTCGAAACTGACAGCTGTTTAGAACTAAGACGTTACATGTTACACCATTTGACTCGGCATTATAGTAAAGCTTTCTATTATATTCTTCTGTACCTTATTAGCAGTGACTGACGGCTGTCTGAGTTCATAAACGACGACGCTCTTGAATATATCGACCAACATCTCGAAATAGTCCGGCGATTGAGCCTCCCACCACAAGTTCACTATTCGCTGCGGATGCGTAGACAAGTTGTTGTATGCTTCTGCGAATGGACCCTGAAGAACAAAATCAATCGGAATACTGCCGACGCTTGTTATTAAAACCATAGTTTTACTTTTTAATAATCTCTTTTTTACATTTTGTTAAAAATACTATTGTTTTTCTAGGGTCACATATTAAAAATTTGTATTATCTATACATATGATAAAATGATAGGAAAGACAAAACTGTACATTGATTTTTTTAAAAAAAAGAATGGTTGGGGTGTGATCTATAATCGATACCAAAGCCAAAAATATAGTTTTTAGAATTTTTGCCTGTTTGTCTGTATGTATGTCCGAGATAAACTCAAAAAGTACTGCATGGATTTACTTCAAATTTGGCACGAATATTATTAAGAAGTCGGGTCAACATATAGGCTTCATATTATCACGCTAACACCTACGGGGAACGAGCAATAAACCTTTATTTCTAACTAACTCCACGCGTACGAAGTCGCGTACTAGTAAAGTACTAAGCATTCGCTTCGAGTTGACCGGTCGCACACACAATGATCGGTACACATAACTAATATTATAAACTCATTAAGTAAGTTTGTTTGTTCGGTTGCTACGTTTTAACACCCAAATTACTGCATTTTGCTACAGAGGCAGATGGGACCCTAGAGACAGCTACAGTCTACTTTTTGTCCTAACAAAAGAACTAGAAGGGGGTAAAACGGGGATGAAAATCAAAGCACGCGGACGAAGGTGCAAGAACCCGCTAGTACTCTATGCAAATAAATCATCGCTTCGAAAGGCACCGACCGGTCAACAATATGCCTAATATTATTAATTTATATGCCAAATCGTCTTTAGGATGTTGCTAAATTAGCGAGGTGTTTTTGTATTGAATCTAAACATGTCTCATATTCTTTACTTCTTTAGTAAATTCCTCAAGTGCCAGAGAAAAACTATTGGAATTCATATTCGTCAGTCTTGTGTCTATTGTTCTGTTCAGACTTTTCCTTCGAAATACGTCCACTAATTTGAAAATCTTATCTAAAAAGCCAGCATCTCAAAATGTCTGATTTGCAATTGAAATACAACTCACAACTGACTTAACCACCTATCACAACACACCTATTAAATAACATTCAAGTAAGAGATCTTTGCAAGCTTGTACATAAAGCTTCAACCAACTTCTCTTCTAAATGTCACAAAGAAACAAGATGGTGGTAAAACCATTTTTAAACTTACTACATTGACATAAGACAAAATATACGATACCTGCAACTCAGGATGCCGCCGCGGATTCCTCATTTCATGGTACAGAGGCAATGTTAGGAACATTCTAAGTGCCTCTGCATCGGGGGGAGATACTTTCATTTTCTTTATTATATTCTCCGTTAGGTGACTGAAAATCTGTGAACAAACCAATTGTTTGTTTAATAAAGTTTAAGTTAGTAATTTTTACGATTTGTAAGGTCTTGTTTTTATTTTATTATCAATATCTGTTATTATTTAACTTATCTGTAAATTATTCACTTCTGTATTATAGTTGGAGCACACTGCATATATTTTGTAGTTGTAGATGACACTGTGGATGCCTGCATATTTATTATTTAAGCTATTTCTTAAAACAATCACATAGGTAATACAATTATGTTGCAATATAAAGGCGTGTAAAAATAATGTATAATAAATATGTTATATTAGGGTATTTTAAGTAAATACTTTTATTTAATGTTACCCAGGTTTCTGAGGTCTCAGAAATGTATTTGCCAAGGTGAAGCCTACTATTAGGCAGACAAGGAGTTTGTTTGCTACAATTTTAGTCAAAATATTTTCAGAAGGATCCATTCTTTTCCATACAACTCTACCTAATTTTGTACCTCAAGCATTATCATGCATTTATGTGTAGAATAATACGCCGAAAACATCAACAATATAAGTGCGTTTCAACACTTGTACCACATTAAAATCTCGTTCTAACATATAAATTAATGGCAACACTGATAATTTATTATGGTAAATGTGCCTCTAAGTTAATAACAATTAGCTACGGAAATCACGTGCTTTTGATACAACCAATCACAATCAAGGAAATGAATTGAAACCAATAGTATTAGCTGTCATCTGTCAGTCAATAACAAATTGCGTCTAAGTAATAACGTTTCTCTATACGCAGATTGCCTATTTGAATTAAGATTTTCAGCAATTTTTATCGAATTTGTTGAGATTTATATGAGTGATTCTTTTTAAGTATAATTTTTGATGTTTTTTGAGACAATTTATACCATGGTACAAAATTGGGCAAATATCGAAGGTCTCCTTTGAGAAGTTTATAAAAAAACTCACCAATTCCTTAATAGAAGTGTTCTCGTATCGGCTAATCATAGAAAATGCCTCTTCTGCCTTCTTAAGGTCCACGCCCGGCGTCTTGGTGTTGCAGCCGAAGTGTGCGTTATTGCCGAGCAGAAAAGATCCATTTACGCACGCTATAGAGCCAAATACTGTCTCTAAATATGTCATTAGATCCTGCAGAATATCACAATTGGTCAGCAAGTATTATCATCTGTACTAATATTATGAAGCTAAAGTGTTTGTTTGTTAAACGCATTAATCCCAGGAACTACTGGTCCGATTTGAATAATTATATTTTGTGTTTGACAGCGCATAGGTCGAAGAAGGATATATATATGTTATAGGCTATATATTAAACCAAGCTACGACTAATGGGAGCGGAGCACTGATGAGATATGTTGCAAAAACGAGAAAAAATATTCCATTCGTAAGTTAATGGTAAGTCACACAAAAATCAAGTATGACGGAAATGTTCTTCTTTTAAAATTTCTTTAATTGGAATGGCATATGTTGAACTTTTAAGGGCGACCCACTATAGCCTTTTTCCTCAAATTAATGCGGGCGAAACCGCAGGGCTCCTGTAGTCTATTTATATAGCCACTATTGGGGTATAGGCCATCTCGTAAATCATCATAATAGTAAATGGACAACGAATCAGTATAGTGCGAATTAGTCTACTAACGATTTAAAATGCAGCCAAAACAATTTTAGAGTTTTAAACAAATTTTCGAAATCGGTTGTAAGGTGGGTGCAATAGACATTTCTGGACATTTGGAGGGAAAATGAAAACTAAGCAGCTAATTCTAGGTTCTTGCCTAGCCACTTGAGAGTAATTGATGCCATGTAGGCCACCTTTTACTTAAGTTCAAAATTACATTTTTGTTCTAGTATAATTATATTTAGAGGAGGCCTATATCCAATAATAGGGATATACGTATTCGTTGTTATTGAACATGAATAATCTGCTTACTTGATTCACTACATCGTTATCTTTAAATACTTCACAAGTAGCCAATTTCGCAATGCTCATGGTCAAGATTTGCTTAGAGTTGTCGGGATTCCGAAAGTCCGTGGAAGCCTTATCGCTATTCAGTAGAAGAAAGCTGTGGTCACCACCCGCAAACACTTTGATAGGTCCATTGAATACATCCCGAGAGAACTGGAAAGAAAAAATGAAAGTAGTGTAAAACATTATTTCTTTTTCTTCTATAAAACTTTGTACGACAACAAATAAATTGGAGCAAATTTAAATTCTAAAAGAAATATATTACTATGGCTCAAACTCTTCTTATATAATGCTGTAGTACAGAGAACACGACTAACAATTGTGAATTTACTTTGGTATTATGGATCACCCAGGGATTATATAAATATTAACAAGAAAGCAAGAAATTGTTATTGGCGAATGTCACTTTCTATTTGGTCTTAGATCATGAAAATAATGGAAGTAAAACTAAATTTTATTTACATAAAATAGGAGTCAAGCTTAAACAAGACCAACCAGTAACAACACCATCTACTGAAGTATGTATTTTTTTCTAAATGAGTTAAATGTAAATATAGTAGCTACGATTACAAATTTAACTACAACAACTGATAAATAAAGCATAACATATAATGATGATTTAATAAGCAAATGTTCTCCGTTAACCACTCATCATAAGAAATATAATTATGTAAGTACAAAGTAGTTCTTATCACAGTAATATTATAATTCAATATATGAGACTCAACATTTCGTCTAGAAGACCCGGCACTGTTGGAACTAAACGCAGTGGAGCTCCCAAACTTCGGCTTCTTCTTGGGCTAAAGAACACTTTTATCATTAGACAGAAACAGTACTGCATTCCTGTAACACTCTAAGTTCTGCCTACAGGCTCTGAAATGCTCCACAATACATGTTTAACAACATTAACGGATTCTTTAATCTCCAAGTATAAGACAACAGTTAAAATAATCAAAAAAAAAACAATTGTTTCAAAAATGTTTATTGAAAAAAGATAACCAGTATAAACTATGCTAAGTAAAAAATAGCATAAATCATAATTCAATAAAAAGTAAAAGAAATCTAATCCATCTATTTTAATGAGGCAAGCGACATCACTGTGACAATAAAATGGAGAAATGAAAAACTGTTGAGCAATCGAATCTATGGAAGAAAAATGAAGAAATGAAGATACCTATACATTTTCTATTGGAATATACCTATAAATAATGCTAGTAGTTACCTACTGGGAAAGCAAAGCATGTCTATCAAAACAACAGTTAAAATCCCATACATGGTAATCTAAATAGTACAAACTAAGTGAATAAAACTACAATGTAAGTAGTATCACCTTACTGTGGCCAGGATTTTCAGTCTGCATGGAAAAAGTTATTATAATATTAATTTATTAGGATCAAATGACTGTATATTACATTGTACATCTCAACAGATATAACGCACACTCTGAAAGTAGTTTGGTGGGAACTAGCTTCTAAATCGACTTTGATAAAAAGGTATCTAAATATTATTAGAAAAAAAAACGATTGAACGATGAAATTAACATCATTATTAAACAAAAAAAATAATACAAAACGCAAGGTAGCGATGGGCGTTGAATTAACGAACGGTTTAAATAGACGGTCTACGTTCAAACGACGCTTCGACGGTCTACAGTTTATTCGTTAACTAGTTGAATTCATAGACGGCTAAACGGAGAGTCCACAGCGTTCATATCTACTGACAACGCGACGTCGACGCGTTTAAACGTATCCGGTTTACCGGTTACAAGTCCATACGTTCGTTCATTCGTTGAAATAAAGCAATTTGAAACTTAAGCATATGGCGTGGAAGTTGATATTTGTTCGTTTTTTAAACTAAAGTTGTTAGAGTGAAAAGGCAAGAATATTCTGATATTGCGTGAAAGAGTACGTGAGATGGATCTGGCTAAACGATGCAGTGCAGGATGAACGGGTTTATAATAATTGTTTACCTCAAGTAGTAGCAGTTTTCTTTATTGAAATTTGAAATTAGTGTGTCGCGAGGTCAAGGTCAAGGGACACGTAAATGCGAATTTAGTGCAAAGTTCGTTTGAATTGAATGATTATTTTATGAGTTTAATTTGTAATTTATTTTGTAAACATTTAAATGACTATAATGTAAAGTGAATACTAAATAAAGACTCCGTCGTCGTCGTTGCGTCGCGCCCGTAGACCAATCACCGCGTAGTTGATATAAACCCCTCAACGCTTGCCGTTATCACGTCAACTAGTTGAAGAATTCAACTAGTTGATCGACTAGTCGATGGACGGTAGTGGACGGTTTAGACGCCCCACCTCTAACGCAAGTCAATAAGGGCTATTTTTAAATGCAACAGTGCATCAAATAATTTTACTAACATTGAGATATCAGTGGAACTAAACAGATTATAAAAAAATACTGTTTATTCATCTGTATATTTGTAAGAAACTACTTTCTGATACACGTTGTATATATACCAGGTGGTCCGATTAGTGACGTCAATGACGTTTTTTTATTAGATTCATCGCACCTGGAGGTATCCGCCTTCGAAGGCCAATTACAACAAAAATAGGCTGATGATGTACAAGTTTTTTTTACGATTTATGTACATGTTCATGTACGTACAGCATAATGATAACCAAATAACTTTAAACAAACAAAAATCTAATAGATTATGCTTAGTTCGATACAAACGCAAACTTGATGATGAATTTGTGTATAGTATGTAAAAATATTTAGCAATTAAGATTATTAAAGAAATGTGCCATTTCAAAAGAATATCATTATCAACCTATTGATGTCCCAACTCCTGGGTCATAAGTCTATAGATGGAATAGGGAGACTGGGCCGAGATGTGACCCATCGAGCGGGCCCAGTGCGGATTAGTGGGTGTAAACAACTGCAGATGCAGCCAAAAACCAACGGCTTAACGTGACTTCCGAAGTAAGGAAGTGCTCGAGATAATAAGTCTTTGGACACCCATCCAACGACGACCATTGCGAAAGTTGCTTAATTTTGACGATTGCAAGCCGAATGAGCTAACCACTTGTGCCTCGAGATCCTCGAAAAAAAAGGAATTACATACTTCGACTTTATTTATATAGATATATGACAACCGCACGCCACCTGCGTCACTGTACTGAGACTTAAGTAACTCACGGGTCACACATCGGTGGGCGTGAACACTAGGGGCAGAGTAAATGGCGACGAACGCACGGCACCTGCGTCACTGTACTGAGACTGAAGTAACTCACGGGTAACTCATCGGTGGGCGTGAACACTATGGGCAGAGTAAATGGCGACGAACGCACGGCACCTGCGTCACTGTACTGAGACTGAAGTAACTCACGGGCGACTCATCGGTGGGCGTGAGCACTACGGGCAGAGTAAACGGCGACGAACGCACGGCACCTGCGTCACTGTACTGAGACTGAAGTAACTCACGGGCGACTCATCGGTGGGCGTGAACACTATGGGCAGAGTAAATGGCGACGAACGCACGGCACCTGCGTCACTGTATTGAGACTGAAGTAACTCACGGGGGACTCATCAGTGGGCGTGAACACTATAGGCAGAGTAAATATGACGAACGCACGGCACCTGCGTCATTGTACTGAGACTGAAGTTACTCGCGGGCGACTCATCGGTGGGCGTGAACACTATGGGCAGAGTAAATGGCGACGAACGCACGGCACCTGCGTCACTGTACTGAGACTCATTAACTCGCGGGCGACTCATCGGTGGGCGTGAACACTATGGGCAGAGTAAATGGCGACGAACGCACGGCACCTGCGTCATTGTACTGAGACTGAAGTAACTCACCTGCGAGTCATTGGTGGGCGTGAACACTACGGGCACAGTAAATGGCGATGAACGCACGGCACCTGCGTCACTGAACTGAAACTGAAGTTACTCACGGGTGAGTCATCGACGGGTGTGAACACTATGGGCAAAATAAATGGCGACGACCGCACACAATCTTATTTCCATATTGCACATATGCATGACGCATATCCCGCCCTTGGATGAGAGATGATATTTTGTGGATCTCCACCCCCCCCCCCCCCCTTCGGAACGGGCTTCGTGGAATCCGGAGACTCTGGCTTAAATAACAATGTCCGGAAGCACCGAGCACCGCACGCCACCTGCGTCACTGTACTGAAAGATAAGTCACTCACGGGCGAGTCATCGACGGGCGTAAACACTACGGGCGTGGGTAATAGATCGACGAGCATGTACGGACAGACTAGTTGGCAGCGCGCGCCGTACCCGCACGCCAGTATGAGCTCGCCCACGCGGCAGAGTAAATGGCGACGACCGCACGCAACCTGTGTCACTGTACTGAAAGATAAAGTCACTCACGGGCGAATCATCGGCGGGCGTAAACACTACGGGCGTGGGTAGTAGAGCGACGAGCATGTGCGGACAGCCTAGTTGGCCGCGCGCGCCGTACCCGCACGCCAGTATGCGCTCGCCCACGCGGCAGAGTAAATGGCGACGACCGCACGCAACCTGTGTCACTGTACTGCCCATTAGCTCCATCACCTGAATAAATTGTTTGTGGTTTATTTAGATTTTTACCCCTCCCCCGTCCTTGGCACTGTTGGTCACATCTCTAGTGTGACGTCACGTAATTTCCTATTTTGCATCTAGAAATTTTAAATTAAAGAATCTGTTCCAAAAATTAGCCAACAAAACAAATTAAAACCCATACAGAATACAGACAGAGTTCTAAATATATTGAACTTTTTTGATAATAGTTCAAAAGTATTAGATTTTGAAATGTGACGTTACGAATAGGGATTGCAATTCGGCTTCATTTTCAATCCGGACGAATCCTGGCGGATCCTGTCGGTCGATCAAAAAAGATGATTTTCGCTTTCTCGTACTTTTTCGAGTCCAATCTAAACTGCTAGTCACCTTTATTTTAAACAATAAGCATGCAATCAATATATATACTAGTAGTTTAAGTAACTAGTAAAATTTTAACCAATTAATGAGTCAGTTAAAACCTCAGTCTTCCCGGTGTTCACTTTCTCAGACAGTACAATTATTTTAGTAAGTAACTTTTTTTAAATCATTTATAATTGATATTGCGTTCTTTACTGAGATGAATTGAGATTACAAAAAAAATGATGGTAATTGGCCGTTTTTGGCCAATTACCATCTGTAATTGGTATAACAGAAACCTCTAGCCGTATCACAAATCCCTCATAGCCGAACCGTGACGGCGCATAACCACACCCAGGCTCGCATAGCCTAGGGGAACTAAAACCCCCTACAAGACTGTACTACACACCCTTGGGCAGGAGTCGTGTGCGTTATTTGGCATTTCCCGCCAAAGCCCCAAAAACAAAACGAGTGCTGAAAAAGAGATAAACAGTACCCCAGGAGGGTATCGCGATTGGCGAAGAATCCCTCACCAAGCCTAGCTTGGTCTGTCCCACGTATTCTGGGGGAGACAACCAGCGCTCTGGGAAAGGCGCAAGCCTGGACCTGTCTGACCTAGCTGAGGCCATAACTACAGTCACAACAAGCTCAACAAGCAACACGACACCTACAAGTACACAGTGGACTGTGATCGCCCATAGGCACCCCTGCAAACGGAAGACTGCTAATGCGGCGGCCACCCACTAACACTCACACAAAGGCTCGCAGGTCCAAACAAAACGCAGTCGCCGCAACCGGCGCGAAAGGAAGCCCTGCAGCCCAAAAGTAAACAAGACAGCACACAGTCGGTCACCGCAGCAGTAGAAACACATTGTGATCCTAAAAATACAGAGGACCGAGAAAACAACCACACATAAACAACCACGACGGAGTCCGAAACCGAGGGGTGATCGTGGTCGGCGGATCGCTGCGCCGGCTCCCACTGCTCCTAAAAAGGAGCAGCCTGGGGTTGCGTGCAGCTCGGGAAGCGAAGCGGCCACGCCTGGACGAACCGCGATCTCCAAGGGGGGATGCCAAACGCGCGAAAATCGACGCGAGGACGAAGCGGACGGTGAGCTACGCGGATGCGAGTAAATCGCATCTAAGAGTAGCGGTCACCACCGTCCCGCCGCTGTTCCGTCGACCATCGACGATGGTATCCTGCAAGCAGTTCTGACTCCGCAGTCTCCAGATGCGCAGGCTCCATCTTTCCGCAGGCGACCCTTCCTATCGGACGGGGTGTTTGCGATGTGGTGTGAGGACGAGAACGCACTCAAGTGGCTTGAGCAAATGGTGAAAACCATCCAGTCACCCATACCGAACACCACATTAATGGTCATTAGGCTGTCGGATGTGAAGAGGAAACTCAGAGCTGGGCTTCTTCTCCACACCCGGATCACCGAGTCTGCCACAATGCAGAAAGTCCTTTGTGCCCAGAATCCCTGGTACAAGATTGACTCCTGGAGTGCTACGACATGACGGTTCAGGACAAACCGGAGAGCAGTTCTAAGGACAAGGTGGTCCATCTAATCAGTAACCTGAACAGGCCTGAGCTCTGAGAACAGCGTTAGCGACGAAGATGGCGTTCTTCGCAGTCCCGAGTAGCACCATCAACATCATACAGATCTCCAGCACAAGCAGATAGCGGCGGCCACACTACGCAGGGTGCTGGAGACAAACAACATGACCGTCGTCCAGGGTTTCTGGATCAGAAACAATAGGATTTGCGGTCTGAACAACATCGGTGGTAAGTTACTTTTAAACACATCTATCGATAAACCAAGGACATGCATTTTTACACCCAAGTCTATAAAAAAACCATGCTTAACCAATTCTGTTCTAGAGACCTCACAGCTGTGACGATCCCCACAGATAATCAAACAGTCTTGGTACTAGCTTCAGTATACATGCCGAATGAGGGTGGAATTCCTCCGAGGGAGCTGACTGAGCTGGTACGACACTGCGAGAATCACAAATGGGAGCTGATTGTAGCGGCTGACTGCAACGTACATCACTCACTGTGGGGAAGACAGGACACAAACAAAACGGGTGAGTCATTAACTGAATTCTTTTTCTAAACCAACATTAACATCATGAATATTGGGACGGAGCCCACATTTGTTAGCTCTAGGTACCAAAATATCATAGATATAACCCTAGCGACACACGCCGCGGCCAATCTAATCGAATGATGGCACGTGTCAAACGAACCCTCCTTTGCAGACCACCGTAGGATATGTTTAAAATTACAGCACAGACAAACAGACCCTGTTCCATATCGCAATCCCCGAAAAACAGATATAGCAGGGTTCATAGAACTGACAACTAAAACACTAAGCGAGACGCAAATACATGATAAAATCCTTGACACAAACAACATAGAAACAAACGAACAGTTCTACACTTCAGTACTTCTTAAAAGTGTCCTACCATCGTACCGAAAGGCCTGGGTAAAAGTTCCTGGTGGGGGCCAGAACTTGAAAAACTACGTAACGAACTCAAGACACTTTTCAACCGACCGAAAAATACCAGAACCAATGAGGACTGGGATAGATATAAAACAGCACAAAAACACTACAAGAAGCGAATCAGATTCCGGAGTAGGGAGGGAAGGCGCGGTTTCTGTAGTAGCGTCAATTCAACAAATCAAGCTGCAAGACTCAAGAAAGTTCTGTCCAATAACAACTCCAACCTCCTTGGGTCTCTAAAAAGGGAAGACGGCACTTATACAAAAACAGAAGAAGAAGCCAATGCGGTGCTACTGGAAACCCACTTCCCAGGATGCCAACTGGCACCTGGCCTTGAGTAGTCGACTGAGCACCACAATGCACCAACAAACCAGGAATGGGACCTGGCAAAAACAATAGTAACGGCGGAAAAGATAGAATGGGCTCTAAAGAGCTTTCAACCATTTAAGTCAGCAGGACTAGAGGTTATATTCCCGGCGCTACAACAATGGCAACTCAGTCAGGCAATTAGATACCTACAACCAATCTTTAGGGCCTGCCTGGCCTTCAAGTACATACCAAAACCAAGGAGGGAGGCAAAAGTAGTCTTCTTACCGAAACCGGGCAAAGACGACTATACGCAAGCCAAATCCTTCAGACCAATAAGCCTAACATCTTTCCTCTTGAAAACATTGGAAAGACTGGTAGACCGACACCTTAGGGATGGAGCACTTAGTAAGGCTCCGCTGCACCCTCAACATCATGCCTACAGAAAAGGCAGATCAACAGAGTCGGCACTGCATTCTGTAGTCCACAAAATAAAATCGCCAATCACAAACAAAACCTCAACACTGGCAGCCTTCATAAACATAGAAGGTGCTTTTGACAAAACGATGCACAACAGCATTAACCACGCCCTAAGAAAACTCAAGGTGGACCAAGTCACCAGAGGTTGGATCACCGAACTGGTCGGCAAAAGGGCGGTTCAGATATTGGGAAACACTACCACGCGTGCAAAGGTAGTTAGAAGATGTCCCCAAGGGGGAGTCCTAACACCACTTCTCTAGATCGTAGTAGTGGACAGTCTCCTACAGAGTCTGAATGACAGAGGATACACTATTATTGGTTATGCGGACGACCTAACAATTCTGATAAATGGGAACACTGAAAATGTTCTTTGCAAAGTTATGCATTCAGATTGTGGAAAAATGGTGTGACGAACATCACTTGTCAGTAAACCCGAGCAAGACAGAGCTAGTCTTTTTCACCAACAAAAGGAAGCTACCCAAACTACAGTTACCAAATCTGTTTAATACCAAACTCTCCCTATCAACACAAGTGAAATATCTGCGCGAAATCCTTGATAACAGACTGAATTGGGCGAGTCATATTGATTTAAAAATAAAGAAGGCCTTTTGACTTTTAATCAGTGTAGAAGACTAGTTGGTGGGCTCTTAGTCCAAAGATCACCCTTTTGGTGTTACGGTTCAGTTATTTGGTGGCCCAGGACCCAATTGACCACAGTGAAATCCAAACTCCAAAGTCTATAACGCTTGGCGTGCGTAGCAGCAACTGGATGCATGAGAACAACTCCATTACAATACCTCATGAATTTAAGACCACTAGATCATACCAGAAGAGGCGAAAGCAACAGCCTTGAGACTAGTCTCTGGGCTTATGGAGATTAAATACTGTTACAATACACTTCAATATTCGACAAAAGTGCATGAAGGAGATCCCACTCCTAAAGGCACCTATGGATAGAATATTGAGTCAACACGTCTTTGATCGAAGATACAACAGCCAATTTACCGCGGAAAAGGCAGATTACTCTGGCGCCGGGGAAGTTAGAATATACACGGATGGCTCCAAAACCAACAGTGCTACTGAAGCCGGTGTCTTCCGGTGGTGGAAAGCACAATCTTCCAGGCGGAATGTATCTTCATGACCAGAGCGGCACAGGCGGTTGCAGCCAGAGATATCAAAGAGTTTAGCATCAAGATCATCTCTGACAGTGCATCCGTGCTTCAAGCCCTACGTAACAACACAATAAACTCTGTCCTAGTAATGGAGTGCCACAAGGCACTTCAATCCATTGCGGTAAACAACACGGTAACTCTGCAATGGATAAAAGGACACAGCAGCTCAATTGGAAATGACGCAGCAGACGAATTGGCTAAAGGGAAGCAGACACAAAAGTGTATGGTCCGGAACCTTTGCTGCCCATACCTCAGGCCCGTGGCTGCGTGAATTAACTCAGAAATCACACTTGACAGAGTGGAAAACAGGTGAAGGATGCCGGCAAACGAAAAACGCGGTTCCGGCGGCAAACAAAAGTCTTGTCCGCACCTTTACCAGACTAAATAGGGACAAACTTCGCAGGATTATAGGAACCCTGACTGGTCATTGTCCCCTAAACAAACACCTACATACAATAGGAGTAACAGAGAGCCCCCTATGCAGAGGAGGCATGGAGGCAGAAGAAACGCCACAGCATGTCATCATGGAATGCAGGAGCGTGGCCGAAGCTTGCAGCAGTCTACCAAAGCTGCTTTTCTTCTGGACCAACTCCAAGATTAAACGGGAAAGTTTTTGAGACACGCACAATGTTAAAATAAGTAAATAGGACTAAGTGCGGAAACCGCCCTGGAAAACTAACTATGTGCAATCAATATAACAATATTTAGTAAATTCTGTGTTATAGAGATAAAAAAATGCCTTCGATGCTTTTATAAAGAACACAAATAGTTCAAGATCAAATAACAAATGCCACGGCAACACTTTTATTCGTAATACTATAAAAACAATTTTTATCAAAATATCACGGTTTGTCATGAATGTTAGTTACTGATTCGCCATTTGTTATCAAGAAAAAGACAACAATACAGCTTAGCCGTCTGTAAAGTTCCGATGACACGGGGCGAGTTTACAAGCTACAAGCCAGCATACAAAACATACCAATAACATAAATGTAAAGCATTTATATAGAAGCTAAAAGGGAAAAAAATCAAATGTGCTAGGAAACTAGCATCACTTCAGATAACCCTGTCCTAGAAAGGATGAAAGATGAAGTGAAATGTAAAAACATGCCATTATTAAATTTATTGTGATTACCTTTCGTGGAAAAAGTTCGTCTCTCGTTGTACCATGTCCGGTTTGACCATAATCTCCATTTCCACAAGTAAATACGCCTCCATCCAATGTAAGGAAAACTGTGAAGTCTTCACCACAGGTAATGTAACAAACCTACAGAAAGATGTATGATGATTTATTGTGGTATACACCCCTGCAAACTTCTTGAGCAATGACTATAGACAAGGGAGCCTACGCAGTAACAATTTTACATAAAAAACGTAAAACATGCGCCATAAGGACGTCGAGTTTTGCTCAAGAAGTTAATCAAAATAATATATTAATCAAAAAAGTGCCTATATCGCTTCCTGGCAAAAAAGTGTTGTAACACATGTGAAGTGTGTTTTAACATTTTTACAAATAACAAATCTTTCACTTGCCTGGCTGTAAAATCGTCGTTATTGTGTTGTGCATAGTGACCACTAGATGACACAAAGTTCTCTCTTTCACTAGGCCACTTCGCTCACTTTGTTGCCCTGAATAGTGTCACATTTGTGATACTACGGAGAGGATGTGTGTTATGTTTACAGAAAAGTGTATTAACATATGATGTCTTTCTATCAGTAAGTTTTACATGTTATGTATAAGAATTATTACAAATAGTATTAAAACTGTTTTTGTTTAAATAAAAACTATGTTTAATAAAATTCAGTATCTCTTGACGAAATTTTATTTCGAACTCTTAGATGGTTTTTGCAAGAAAAGCGTCATAATATGAGCCTTAATTAGAATTATTTTGAAAGTTATTTTAAGAAATATATGATTTCGCTAAAAATACTGAATCATATGAAATCAGCATTAAATAAGCTATATGTAAATAAAATTTCAACAAAGCAGGTCTTAAAAATAAATAAAATAAAAATAGCCTTTATTGTCTAATATAGTTATACATACTACTTAATAACTAGCCGTATTACTAATTTCCTATTGCTACAATTTAATTTAATTTTACATTGCTTACACTAATAAAAGAAAATTGGTAACACCAGCACTATTTTAATCAGGTGTTGGTTATATTTTTGTGTTGAGACACTTTTTTTGCCGGGAAGAGATATCATAATATTTTTGATAATCTATATGGTGGAGGTTACTTCTCTGGAGACAGTTGCTCCACTTCACAGGGAAACTATGACATTGTGTGCTGGAGTCTTCCAAGGTGTTATCAGTTAACCAACCAATAATGCTTATAGATATTTTGTATTAATGGCAACACAGTACTTTGACTAAATAAAAACAAACTTACTCTGACATCTCTCAGTGATTTAAGATGTGATGGATAACATCTATTATCCTTGTGTTGTAATCCCAATTGTCCATGAGTATTTTTTCCCCATCCAAAAACTGCACCAGATCTGGTTAACAACCAAAACTTTAATAAGGATACAAAATTAATATTAATCAATTTTATTAATTCAGGTACAATCTAGCAGTTTAATGCTAGAAACAAAAAATATAATAAAGCACCTCTTTTATTTATCAAATCAAAATGGAATAAGTTGTGGTTTGTTCACTGATATATCATGAAAAATTCTCACTACCAAGAAGGAAATTGTGGTATGGATAACATTTAAATGTGTTAAAAATAAAACACTATCTGACTTTTAATACCAAAACATACTAATCGCATGAACATTGTATCACACTTATTTGGTCAAGTAGCAATATTTAAAACACTATTGAGATTTATTCTATTCTATTTTTGGTGTAGACTGGCTGCAGTCTACTGGGACAAATCTGCCAATGTCAGGGTTGGCCACCTATTAAGTTTTTTTTTAGTCATAAACTTTTAACAAATGACACTGTAAGATATAAAACATTAAGAAACAACTCCACTTCTTATGCAATCAGGTAAAATCAGCTTTAGTTGGTTTATTCACAGAACATAATTCTCCTACCGTGATTTTCCAATCAATCACATAAGATTTATAAGTGCTTTGAACAACCTAGACTAGATTAAATAAATGATTTTGTACCCATCAAATATATTGTTTACCTAAGATTCAGACTCACTTGGATAGTGCAAAAGTGTGGTTACTGCCGCAAGCTATCAAAGCAATAGGCACTCCAAGAAGTGATGTGATCTGTTGAGGTACAGCTTCCTTATTTGACATGGTACCCAGGCCACACTGTCCGTAACTGTTGGCTCCCCATGCATAAAGGTCACCATCTAAAAATTAAGACCTTATTTACTTACAGTTTTTGTGTTTACCAAAACCTTTGTAGCAAAATATTAGAACACAGCTAATTTGTAACATATATTTTTTTTATTTATTGAGATTTTATCCAAAAATTAAGGTAGGTTTTGTTCTTAATATTATTAAGGAGTTGTATAATTGAAATTGTAAAAAAGTCAGTCCTAATCGAAATACCATTTAAAAAATCCCCACTTTATGATGGCAATGCAATGTAGTAAGCAGTTTTTGTATGAGATATGATTTGATTCTTTCTTTAATAACGAAACAACTTACTGTTTGTCAATGCCACTGAATGGTAAAATCCACAGGCAATTTGAACAACATTCTTGGTGGCAAGGTGTCTAACAATACTAGGGACATTATATGAGTTTGCATCATTTTTTGGATCAAGTCCTAACTGTCCCATACTATTGCAACCCCAACTGTAAGGTTGACCCCACTCATTAAGAGCTAATGAGTGCTGAAGACCACATGCCACTGATGATATTTTAAACTCCTTTAATTTCTCCACAAAGGCTGAAAAAGTAACAAATATTTTAAAGAGTCGGTAAAATTTTAAACTCTCATTCCACTATAAAATTGTGTAAGTAAACAGTACCAGGAGTTCTTCCTTCTTTGGAATCAGTGTGCCTTCCAAGTTGACCGACTTCATTACTCCCACAAGAATACAAATTGCCATGATTCGTAAGGTATAGAGCATGAAATTCTCCTGTAGCCACTCCACGAATATTGTCACTTTCTTTCCACTTAGATAGTGTAGGTTTTATTATCTGCATTATTCATAATAAATATTTGCTACATACTGATGTAAAATATAAATTCTTGTGAAAGAATATGTAACATAAAATTATTAAATGGAAAAACATTAAATTATAGAAAGGTTACTCACCGGGTCAACAATTTCTTCTCCGTCAATGAACAATTCATGATGAGTAGCATTACCCCAACAAAACATTTTTGTGTACCTACTTGAAAATGACTTTTAAATTTTACAATATTTTTCATATAACCTCTTACACTATTTGATCCAGTCTATTTAGGGATGTAATTAAATTTATTATATTTATTGTTACACCATTAATGTTTTCTGCGACATTATAAATTATAATAATACAAATACATTTTGTTGCAAAAATCGAGAACAATCCTAGTCGGATTAAAATGTACGAAGTTTCCTTTACATTGTTTTACTAAAAATGAAGAACATCAAATATACTGTGAAAAGTATCTTTATGTATGTATTTTACATTAAAAGCATACAGTAATACCAAAACCATCGAAAATATACTAAAGAGGGAACACGGTGACCTACGGCTGTCAAACAAGTGTCAAACGGTCACTTTAATGTTAAGGATGGGATCTTAATTCGATAATCGATTCAGTGAGTCAATATTCACCCTAGCAAATACAACATTAGATTTTTTTATTTGGGTTAATAACCATAAACTTATTTACAATTACTTGAATGTTGAAATGTGTTTTTATACCTTTTTTTATAGTCGTGGAGCGCTACAATAGCGATGGGGAAAAGTCAATTTGTTACAGAAAAAAATCGGACAATCCAATTATATTTTGTCTATTTTTAACTTAAATTGCAAGGTAGCTGTTTGAAGATTGATTAAAATGAACTCAGCGACTAGTATATAGTAGGTCTCAAACCATTATTAATTATGGTGTGACAAAACTATCATTAACTCAGGTGGAACTGAAATAAACGATGCATTGCTGAATTATAATTACATCATATTTGAATTATTCACATTTTACTCAATTCTACTTATTACATTCATATATTATAATATAAAAACTATGAGCACTTTTCAAGAGCTTTCTCAGTTTGACGTTACGTGACTTAATGGTGTTCACTGCTTGCGCCGCGCTAACCCACTACGAATAGCCCGCGCTTTGAGCACAAGCAATGGCGTGCAATAAACTAGTCATTTGAATAACTTAATAGTTTAAAATGTACTTTTGACTACAATTTTGTGGGGTAAGAATGACTTAGAATAATATATATATGTTAACATTATTATCTATTACGGAGCCAACTTAATTGCTTTAAAGAAAAAAACGGTGGTATTCATTCTATATTTGTTGGCTCCACCTTTCACCGTGTAACATACAAAGTTTGCTTTCGCCACATTTTACCGACTGTTTAAGCTGAATCCAACCAATTCAACTTCGTTTTGGCGACAAGAGTAGTTGTAAAGCCGCTGTTCACGCTCTTCGCACCTTACGCCGATTTACGCAGTGGAGGAAGTGCTGAAAGTGGATGTCAAGAACGCCTTCAACTCCGTAGATAGAGATGCCTTGCTTCCAGTAATTCAACAAAAAACTCCTACTATTTATAATTATTTTTGGCTATGCAGTAGCAAACTAAGTAAACTCGTTATCAAAAAAAATTATGTGCTTATGACCACACGACTGAAGTGAAACTTCTTTAACTCCAACTGTATGTATGTATGTATATATATATATATATGTATATATATATTTATGTGTGTGTATACAATATATACATATTTCATTTACTAGCTATAAGACAAAGAGTCACTCAACTCCCGGTGGCCTCGCCCGAACACACTTTTCGTAACGCGCAACGCATTCGCCAGCTTACCCTCTAAGTCAAGCGTGCGTAAAGAAATTTCACTTCAACAACCTGTTGGTTGTCAGCAAGGCGATCCTTTCGGCCCCGATATTTTTAAACAACCTATTATTGATTCGCTAAATTCTAAATTTAATATGTAAGGCATTGTCCTAATACAACGCGATAACGCGAATGAGCGATGCGATCATCGTACGAGTCGACGATCAAACATATTGATCTAGAATAGGTGTCCTAATAGGCGATCGCGCGATGCACTCGCGCGACTAAAATGTTTAAATATCTATTCGCACTAACTTCGTTCGCGCGAACGCGCAATCAAACCTATTAATGATGAATAGGTGTCCTAACTGAAGTTCGCGCGATGATCGCGTCGCGTCGATAGGAAGCGGGGAGAGGGGCAGGGCTAACCCGTTCCGTATTCGCGTTCTATTAGGACACCCAGTTCGCGATCACGCGATGGTCGCATCGTTTAAACGCGCGATGATCGCGTTGTATTAGGACAATGCCTAATACGATAATGACGGAACTATCGCAGGAGATATTTCAACAGTTCTTTCAGATTTCACGTCATTATTGATAAATTACAAAGTATTGGCCTTGCCTTAAATTATTCAAAATTCAACCAATATCAAGACTTTCTTTGACAAGAGCACTCTGTCTCTTGCGATATCGTTTAGTCTTGGCCTCAAGACTAACCCCCATCGCTGTCGCTGCGGTACTCGCATCGGTGAGCTGGGACACCATGGCCTCTCATGCCAAATGAGCGTAGAATAATTCAATTATAACAATTTATTACAATAGTTTTGTTTATGATCGGCCAAAGCGCGCAAACGTCAAAACGGCCATCATACATGCCGGGATTTTTAAAAACTTTTATTACATTGCTATATTTTGTTCTTGTTTGTCTTCAGCATGTCACAGTGTCACAAGCCTGAACTCAAATCTATCAACAGGCATAGTTCACCGAATGCAAACTGTTAATTAATCTAAAAAAAAGGTAAATTTAAAAAATCAAAAAACCCGACTGCTTAATTATACTTCAAATAAAAACTGAAAAGAAAAAAACAAGTCCAGTAGTCTATAATTCTGTTAATAAGGAACAAAGCTACTTTAACAGTCGGGACCCACTGTTGAAAAATATTATGTATTCTTGAATATCTAATGGGTCCCGACTGTTAAAGTAGCTTTGTTCCTTATTAACAGAATTATAGACTACTGGACTTGTTTTTTTCTTTTCAGTTTTTATTTGAAGTATAATTAAGCAGTCGGGTTTTTTGATTTTTTAAATTTACCTTTTTTATTTCACACTTTTTAGTCAGTTAGTATTTTAAGACGGTATATACCGTAGTCTTGTTACTTCAGTAAGGGAATTAATATCGCGGGAATTATTAAGTACCTTGCGTCCGTCTAAAAGATTGATTTATTAAGACATATAGAGACTTTACCAGCGGGGTCAAGGCTACAGATGGGCCTCAATTTTCGCAAAAATGTTGAAGTTACTTAAATCAAGTCGTTACATAAATATCTCTAATGTATGTAAATTTTATAGTAAACTAGCACTTACTCAAAAAGTCATCTTTTGTTTATGTTTTTTTTAATAGTTTAGCAGTAAATATACTACTACTACTTACTTTTATTCGTCGACTATTTAAAATTGGCAGTGGCTGCATTGTCATGTCAATGCCGGACGTCTAAGATTGTGATATACACAAATGCAGTGTCAGTCCCTAGTCTCATAATTTGATATACCTGCATAATTCACAGAAACCCAATATGTAGATGCCAGAAGTTAACTTCAAATGTTTTTAATCACCCTATATACAATACCAATCGATGACGTTTATGTCGCAGGTTGAAGAAAGCAGTAATTGCCGTTTGTTGTTTTGGACAATGGTGGCAACTGCCTTAGATCACTAAATTAAATAATTATGCAATCACCAAAGCAAAGTTTATAATATTTGATTAAACTAAAGGCGCATAATAAAATTTTCATAACGTTAGGTAGAACACCATAGCAATCTCATTTTTATCAATTTATAGTTCTCTTTGTAGTTTTCTTTTAAAGCGTTCACATATAACAGGTCAAAGACTTTGTGATCGACCCTTTTTATTGGTAGTGTAAAGCTCGAATGAAGAGTACTCCCAGTAGTGCAAACATGGCAATTATTTTCCAAATTTTTTTTTGTTTAAAAAAATACCGAAAAACGTATCACTATTAAGCACAAATGCTAAGCAACTTTTACAAATATAATCAAATAAACCTATTACTTACTTTATTTTTAAATCTTTTTCATCAATTAAATACTTATCTTATCCTAACTATCTATACTAATATTATAAAGAGGCAAGATTTGTATGTTTGTAACAAATAATCTGTCAAACTACTGAACCGGTTTCAAATATTAATTCATCATAAGGTAGCTACATTATTTATTATTACATTTTTCTTTATTTAAATACATTTTGTCCGAGTGACATAGGCTATATTTTATCCCGATAAATAAATTTCGCCCGTACAATACTCGGGTGGATCACTAGTAAGTATAATATAATATTATAGATGCGAAAGTGAGTTTGTTTGTTGCGCTTCCGTGCCCTAATAGCTAAATCGAATATAATGAATTCCCATATAGAAGTAGATGGGAACTTGGTTCTTAGCTACAACATCGCAATACTTATAGGCGTAGGGTGATGAAAGGGGTGATTTACCTATAAAAATCTACATTATTTACTTTGAATTTTACAGAATTATTACAAAACCAATATTATCGCGAGCTGATTAATAAATACAGGGATTCCAATAAGTATGTACTTACTAGCGAAAAATGGGTTATTTGTCATTACATTAAGTAAACCTTTTTTGTAACATTAAGTAATATCGTTAAAAAAATGAAAAACAGTAAAATTCAGAGTTTTTCATTGAAATTCAATAATCATAAATACCTATTATGATAATATATTTTTCATCATTAAATAATTCAGTAATAAATAATAAATAAATTTTTATTTTCTCATACCACAATCTAAATAAAACTTACATGAAGCAATGGTACAATGTTGCAGACTGTGGTGGGCTGATATCTGAACTGTATCACAGTTTTATTGTTAGTACTTCGTATTTATTTTTTTATTTATTATTCATTTATTCAATCAAATCAATTACATTTTTGATATACAATGGCTGTATCTAAAAAACCCTTAAACATGGGTTTATCTGTCTACAGCGATTCGCTCTAACAAATATTTTTTAAGTTTATGTTTACAATTATCTTTCATATACAATTCTTGAATACTGGGGGGCATTTCATTTAGAAATTTAGGAATAACATATTTTAGTGTTCTCGAACCATATACATTGTTGGTTTTCGGTAGGAGATATTTTTTATAATTAAGGTTACGCAAGTATTCTGGACGATGATGAGTCTGTAGATTATGAGCACTGTTATATTCTGTTAAAACACAAAATTTGACTTTATCATATACACTCAACACTTTACAATGGTTAAACAACTCACCATAATTTTCTTTATATTTATTTTTAATATATTTTGGAACAATAGTTTTTAAGATTCTTATTTGTAATCTGTATATATCTTTCAAATATGTATCATATGTCAAACCATAACTGCTCAAGCCATAGCCAATAACTGAGTCAGCTAAGGCCATATACATTAATCTGAGGATTCTGTATGGAAGCTTATAT